AATTTGCCCCATTATTATGATGTTTAAAAAGTGAAAAAACATTGGGTTGCCCTTACCGGGTTACCAAACGTTTAGTTTTCCCAAAGCTTTTGTGTCTCGGGATTGTAACGCCAATAATAAAAGTAGGTTCAGAATGAGCACAAGGGTTTGGGGGGACGTACCTTGGCAAGGAAATTTAAAAAAATTAATTTAAAGTAGCTACACTAGAAGAGATGACCAGGAGGATAGGCATGGTATGCTCAGTAAATCCCCTGAGAAGATATAATGGGATAGGGACAATTGGGAAAGAAAGGAGAGGAAGCAAGGGATATAAAAACAACTACATACACTAGGAAATACTTTTTTTAGCCCTTTTGGTGATAAGTTAAAAAGGGAACCCGATACGAGACGAAAAAATTTGGTTTTAAAGGGACCAAAAAATTTTAAAAGTATTTATATCAGAACCCCTTTAAAAGGGCCCGAAACCAATAAAGCCGGCCCAAAAAAATTTAAAACTACTAGATAACCCTTTAAGCTATTGTAGAAGGCCAGTCAAGCCTACTCAAGTGGGAAACAGCTGCTCACTCATGGGGACACTATTGACAAAAACTGGGGAATTCCCCCCGAAACTTTAAAACCCGGGGGAAAAAAAATTTTGGGGGAATTTGGGCATCGCAAGGCCCCCCCAATTGACCCGAGTTTTAAAACACTACCTTTTGGGAAATTCTAACAATTCCTCTGACCACCACAGAGGGAACAAATCCTCTTCCCAGCAACGAAGGAAGCCTTGGATCTGTTAATTCTCCTACACTGACATCTCTGCTTCAGCCACTGCCAGTCCACTAGACAGTACACATACCATCTCTGATCCTACACCTGTCAGCACATCTACCGACACTATTCCAGCATCTGGCAGCAGTCATCATCGGCAAGTTCTGAGTCAGGAGTTTCTCCACCAGAGATTGGTGCAGTTAATAATCAGGGAGCTATCACTGCACTTGATCACCTACTGCGCCAAAGTACGAACAGCAGGCACACATCTGTCAGAACTGGAAGAGGACGGGGTAGAGGACGTGGAAGAGGAAGACATCTAGGTGGCCGGTGGCCTGGTGCCGCTTAAAGCTCCCCGCTTCACACCGGAGGGCCCGGGTTCGTTCCGGCGGGTGGAAACATTCGACACGTTTCCTTTACACCTGTTGTCCTGTTCACCTAGCAGCAATAGGTCCCTGGGTGTTAGTCGACTGGTGTGGGTCGCATCTGGGGGACAAGATTAAGGACCCCAATGGAAATAAGTTAGACAGTCCTCGATGACGCACTGACTTTCTGGGTTATCCTGGGTGGCTAACCCTCCGGGGTTAAAAATCCAACCCCGAAATCTTATCTTATCTTATCTTTCTTATCACCTAGGCTGTGCTCTCCCTGTCACCGGAAGGGGACACCCAACTGCCTGCGAGATACCAGGTGCAATTACTGCTACAGAAAGGACATCAGGAGGACCGGTGTCGGTAAGAAAAAAGGAACTTGACAGACAGGACCACCTGTTTAGTGACCTGTTCTCGGAACAAACCAGCAGGATCTCTGAATTGGTGAACACACTCACACGTCACCCTCAACTACTCCTATCTCAGCCCAGCAGGTGGTATTGTGCCTTATACAAGACCACAGACCTATATCCCTGCAGCTGCCTCAGTACCCTACCTCTCTCAAGGGCGGGGCACCTTACATGCTTTACACACCCACCACCTCAAGCTGACCACATCATGAGGAGCCGTCTACCAGCATCCTGTCGGCCAACATTAGAGGTTTCATTACTAATGTTGGAGAGCTCACATAATTTTGTAAACACTCGGACGTCCCGACATGATAGCTGTTGTTGAAACATTTTTGGACGACAGGACTCAAAATTTTGCAAGAATTGCTGGTACACCTCATGGATGAGAAGAGACAGGCAAGGGCAAGGAGGAGGTGTTGCTGTGTGCTTCTCTAAAGTGTTCATGCCAGCACATTGATGTTGCCCCCCTATCATCTTGAAATGATGTTCTTGAAGCTTGCATAAACACTAGTACCTCTGTACTAGCATGTGCATGTACAGGCCTCAGTGACAACATGCAGACCCATCAACTTCTAATGGAAAATATGGACTCCCTTCTGCTACAACACAACTGTCAACATATCATAATTGTTGGTGACCTCAACCAACACCTTATACAGAGGGACTTTGATGACCTTCTTGCAGTATTTGACATGAGAAACTTTGTTGATTTCCCTACTCACATCTCTGGCTCCTCCCTTGACCCAGTAGTGAGTGATCTGGCACAACGTATAGTCACTTGTCAACCCCTCGGCTACGTTGGATCGTCTGACCACAAGGCTGTTTTTACGACACTTAAGATCCCAACAGAACGAGGTGAGGAGTCCACACGCACAACCTGGCTATGGGAAAGAGGTAATTGGCCAGCCCTTTGCTCTGAGCTCGCCACCACCGACTGGAACGCACTTCTCCAAGGGGATGTTGACAACCAAGTGAAAGCCTTCACTGGACACATCCTTAATCTACAAGAACACATTCCTCACCGGCAATATGTGACGAAGCCTACAGATCAGCCTTGGTTTGGCTTTCGTTGTAGAGAGGCTGCTACTGCTTAGTACAAAGCATGGCGAAGGTATAAGAGACATCCTACCACCTATAACAGGAACTTGCACAGGCAAGCCTGTAGGCATATGGGTGACGTTCAAAAGTGGGCCATTGCTAAATGGGAGGTGGACACAAAAAGAAAGCTAGCATCAGGTAGAGTAGGCTCCAAAACCTGGTGGTCCCTGGTCAAGGACAGACAAGGTTATCTGCCTGATGAACTCATTCCACCTCTAAATCGACAGGATGGGACCATCTCTACTAGTAGTCAAGAGAAGGCGGACCTCTTTGCCGAACACTTTGCTACCAAAATGCAAGTTCCTGGCTAGCTGCAAGAACTGTGTCAAAACTGTCAGTGGTGACAATAAGGCAGGAGGAGGAGGTGCATTTCCTTCTTAAATAGCTTGACCAAGAAAAGGCTGTGGGCCCAGACAAGTTGAGCCCAAGATTGCTGAGAAGATGTGTAGACCAGCTAGCAGCACCTCTAACTCGCATCTTTCAGCACTGCCTAGTACAGTGTAAATGGCCCTCTGTGGAAAGAGGCAAATGTAGTCCCTGTTCACAAAAAGAAGAGCAGAGCAGAAATCAGCAACTACAGACCAGTGTCACTCCTGTCAATCACTGGTAAGATCCTTGAGACAATAATCTCAAGACAAATGACAGTTTTTTGACCACCACTCACTACTTTGTGATCGTCAATATGGCTTCAGGAAAGGTTACTCTGCTGCTGATATGTTGTTAAACCTCTTCACTAAGTGGCACCAGTCACTGGATGAATCCAAAGTCAGCTGTGTGGTAGCATTGGACATTGCTGGTGCTTTCGACCGGGTGTGGCACCAGGGCCTCTTAGCAAAACTTTAAGCACTGGGAATTGCAGGCTCTACGCTATGTCTCCTCAGTGATTACCTTCATGGTAGATCTCTAAGGGTAGTTCTCAATGGAATGGAATCAGCAAGACATACTATTGGGGTAAGTGTTCCACAAGGAAGCGTGCTGGGACCACTGTTATGGAATGTCTACTTCAACGACCTTCTTCATCTCATCCCAGAATCCCATGCATATGCAGACGACTGTACGCTGACATTCACTTATCCAAGAGAAGAAATGCCAGCTGCTCTAAGCTACATCAATCACCAGCTAAGAGCTATAGCAGCTTGGGGAAATAGATGGCAAGTAACATTTGCACCTGAGAAAACGCAAATGATGATGGTCTCTAGGCACCATGATCGTAATGCTGGTGCAGTAGTAAGGATGAATGGGAGGGTGTTGGCACCTGGAGAAGAAGTTGATATCCTTGGGTTGAAATTTGACTCCAAACTAACCATGAAGAACCATGTTGTAAATCTTGCAAACAAGGCAGCCAGGAAGCTTACAGCACATCGCCGTATCTTGCATCTGCTTGACAGTAGGGAGCTGTATAGCCCTCGTGGCTTAGCGCTTTTTTTTATTATAATAATAATTGACAGTAGGGGTTGCAAGATTCTGTACAAGGCACAAGTACGCTCACACCTTGAGTATGCTCCACTTTCTTGGTTTGCCTGCCCCCCCTCTCATCTGCGACTGCTTGACAGAGTAGAGAACAGAGCAAGACGTCTCATCTCTCGCCTGGACCCATCCTGGATAGATCTGTCATTTCAGCAGAGCCTACAACACAGGAGGGATGTGGGTGGCCTTACTGTTATGTACAAGGCCAATATTGTCAAAGTACCACACTTGGATCCACTTCGAGGACAGCATGAAACAAGCTTTTATGCCACAAGACGGGCAGAAAGCAGCAACTTCACTCTGGCTGTACCCTTCTCCAGAACATCACTCCATCTGAGATCATATATACCCAGGATGACTCGAGTATGGAACACACTCGTACAGCATAATGATGTCAACGAGATAAAGTCAGTTGATCAAATGAAAATGCTGGCCCACAGATGGCTCCAACTTCATCCTGTTCCCTACTTGTATGTCTCTTAACAATAAAAATGCTTTCAAATGAATGATGTAGATAACAGCTCTTAGCTTGCCAATAAAGTTAGGAATCCTTAACCTGTAAATAGCTTGTCAATAAAGCTAGTGATCCTTAACCTAACCTTGTCAAACCCTGTGTTAAAAAAAAATATACAACTGGGTAAATACGAAGGCGAGTACAAATGGAAGCTGACGACGCATGAGTCATACGTGTTTACATGATTCATTACCTTTGTAACTTGTGAGATCATTACATTTGTACCATGTTCAGCTATCATAACTTTGAGGCCCAGTCCCTGGACCCATTATGTACCTCTGTAATCTTTTGACTACCGCCCACAGGATGGGTATGGGGTGCATAATAAACATATTAAACTAAAATACGTGTTAAACGTTAGGAAGTACCAGAGAGGCGTATGACCCTGACCTTAAGGAAGTCGTTCTCCTTCTCTAGCTGAGCTATAAGTTCCTCCTGGTGCCTCAGCAGTTCCAGCAGCCACCGTGACGCCCTCTCTTCCCCGCCAATGCCCACCATGCTTCCAGGCACACCGTCCACATCTGAGCTAACTGCAATATGGGCCATGTAATCCTACTAGAATGCGTTTCATATTAAATTTTGTCATTACTTATTATTATTATTTTACTAATTATGCTAAGAGGTTAATTTTGTTTGCCCGAAATGCTCTGCATACAAAGTGACTTTTGGCATATACAACCATTATATTCCTTTGTACAACTAGTATCATGTCAGAATAAATTATTATTATTATTATTATTATTATTATTATTATTATTATTATTATTATACTTTAGGGTAATAGTGGTTCACTGAGTTCTCTTTCTGCTTTGCCTGTTTGAGAGTATTGCATTTGTGGGAAATTGCCTGCAGGAGGTTTACAGGGTATTACCTGAATTATTGCCTGCAAGTAATTTGGGTGAGGTAAGTGGGACTTAGTCACAGCAGGTCGCCGAACTGTCACTCCCTCGATGCCCACTCCCTATCACTCTCACAAAATGCTAGACCTAACATTATATTAATAATTACAATATTAATTAAAACCAGCTACTCTGGTAAATTAAAGTTGTGTGGACTGTATATGATTTTAGGACCTGACTGTTAGAAGTGGTTAATGGGAATATTTTTACAAAGACTAGGGAAGGTTTTCTCTTAACCTTATCATTAGAACAATAAATTTTATACACATTAACTTACATGGAACACACCTTATCGTTACCCTAACAGCTAGAATTTACGATGGTCAATGCAAAAATTACTGTACATTATGGATAAGCGCCAGTTAGCTAAGGTGTACTGCTGAGAAAATCGGAGTCCTCTATTTTTCCATCTTTGTTGTCGAATTGTAAGGGTTTTCCACACTATCCCAATTCTTCAGCAGGAACGTGTCAGCAATTTCTAAATTACGGCTTGATTGCTTTATTACATTGCACAATTCAGTCGTGTTCACACTTTCAGTTCATTATGGCGTATCTTCTCCGCGTCACTCTCCGGCTATTCCACACCGCCCTTCACTTAAAATTTCTCAAAGGGTCCAAAGAGCATCACATTTTAATACACAATTATTATATTATTCATTTATATGTTTTACCTTTAGGAAAATTATGTAAAAAAATTTCCACAGCGCTCCAGCTGCTGGCCCTGCGTGAGGGGTATTGAGCTCCAGCTGCAGGCCCTACTACACTCGTTTTTCATTTAAGACTTGCAAACTGCAGTACATGTAAAATGAAACAGGTCTTTAAATGCTTGTTAGCATGAGTTCTGTAAAACAGGAAATAACTTATCATACCAAACTATGATATAAATAGGAACCTAAATAGGAACAGCTCGTCCTCTTAATCACAAACAGTGCTTGACTGTTGTAAAGACAGTCAAATGGGGGACTGGTGAAAGCTTAATTAAACTGTTCAAATCTCAGTTGTTTTTTTACCGCTCTCACTTTTCTGTTGGAGTGGAAGAACTTTATCGTCTATGTCTTATATTTATATTTTTTTCCGTGTGGCAATTATAATTGGTTATCTTTTATGGGTAGAGGACAGTCTAACCTAGTCCAACATAACCTAACAGAAATTTGCTGAAAACGTTTGTGAGAAAAGCCACATAAATTGTTACTGTAGTTAAAAGGACCCCAATGTAAATAATTAAGTCACTGACTTTTTGGGTTATCCTAGTTAATTTACACTATGTATGACAATTGTACTTACGTGTATCTGTGCCTAAATAAACTTACATAGTGACAGAAAATACTTTTGTGTGAACTGACAAGCAAAAACGGGATAATAATAAAGAATTTAAAAATGCTTTCTTTTCAAGGGGTTGCCCTGATGCTGGAGGACTCTGATCCAAGGAACTGGGCTTATCCTTCCCTTCCTTGTATCGAATCTCAATATCTCACATTCCCCAAGCACTATATAATCCCTATGGTTTAGTGTTTTCCCTTGATTAAAAAAAAGTCACTGGTCCAGGTGCTATCTTTCTCTTCCTTGTATTAAAGGTAAATTACCTTCCATTCTCCTAGGCGTTGTATAACCACGATGTGTTTAGGGTTTGATCCATGATCATAATAGTAGTAAATAGAAATGCTTTAATGCAACAAATTAGGAAACCATCTTACCTGAGGCGTGGTATATATTGTGGATGGAGTTGATGGAGGTGGTGTGGGCGTGGGTGTGGTGAGGGGGAGTGGGTGGTGACTCCCAGCCTGATGGGTCATATAAGAGCCTTTTAAGTCTAGCCACAGCTTCCCTATACTTCACACTGTCTGCCACTTGCATCCTGCCACCCACCAACACCTGTAACACTTGGTACCTTCACTACAGGTGAAGAGCCGGTCAAATGTTTTACACTGGCAGGATTGTGTCTTTTCTTCCTATTTCATGAAAATGTAACGTGGCAGATAACTCTTACATTCAGCATACAATTTTTCCTTGAGTTTATTAATACCGTTAATTCTTAAAAGATTTGCCTCTCGAGAGGCCTGGTCTACATACAGATTTTTTAATAAATATTACTTATGGGACCTAATCACTCGATTGCCCTTACTCCTGATATTAAATGTCTCAACCGAGACTTGAAAGAATGGACAGATTTATCTTAACAGACACTGACAACCTGTTGAAGTCTAGCCTAGGAGCTACATAAGAAAAGGCGCTAGTTTCTATTAATGATGTCTCCGCAACAGCAAGGGTCCGTCAGAAATGGTTATATGCTTTTGCCAACCTAGCAAGGCTACTCTGTAACAGCTGTAAAGTAAAAATATCACGGCCTGGTCATCACTGCGGGGTAGACCAGGCGCCAGAAAAGTAATTAAGATAATTTGCTTGCACCCCCGACCTTAGTAAACTACTATGGTTATACATGGTCTCCTTGATTTTGATTACTAACTCAGCTTGCTGTTGGGGATGTATTGTCATGTTTCAAAATAAACGAACAAACGGAATCGATTAATGTATGAATATACGATTCACGTCTTCCTTTTGTTATTCTTGTTACAGTATTGAATTTCAAGGCGATGGATGTTTATTATTAATAATAATCTGCATTTGAAAACGTTTAAAAATAAAACAGAAAAGTATGAATTCTTATTTAGTATCGCATCAGCTGGGTCCATTAATAATCGTCAAAATAATTATGATCTTGATGCGTATGTTAATAATCGTCATTCCCAAACTCACTAATATTCTAGGACGCACAAAACCGCTGGGGGTAAACTATATCGGTTAACAGTAATATTAAATATAATACTGAATTACCATTATACTTTTATTGACATGAAAAAATATGTGGTAATTACCATTAACTTACCGTTGAGGATATTTGCAGGCAACAGGTAATGTATCTGCGGGGTGCTGCTTGTCACTAAAATTTGTGTGGCACTCTAGGCATTTCCACTAGTGGAGGATCCTTCTAGGCTCCATTGGTGCAGGATCAGTCTGGTATATCCTGGGCATCAGACGAGAAGCCAGCATCACGGCCCCAGTTTCCGTCATTAAAAGTCCACTCAAACTGAAGGGAATCACAAACACCTTAGTGCTGGTTCTTCAGTGGCTGGGTTGGTGTGTGTGTATGAGAGGCAGTGTAGGTGTAGTGAGAGCACGTGGTAGAGTGGCTCGCCTGGCCCACCTGCTCTCACCAGGTGAGCCAGGAATGTCATCTGATCGATCCCCTTACCTGCACCACGTATTCTCCCTGCCTCATACTCCACTACATCTTCTATTTTCATCATTTTCGCAGCTTTTGCCTTTTTTTTTTCTTTTAGATTCTACCAGTTCCTAAAATAAAATAAAATCCTACTCGCCATCAAAACTAGTGTCATCGAAAATGTAAATTTGTTATGCTCACTGAAGGGCTCGGAAAAACCTGCCTCTAAAATATATATCTTATTAATATTGTATTTTAAAAGATATAACACTCACTCAACATGAAGGGAAGATTCGGGGAACTTTATGGAAAGGTAATTGTTTAAAGACATTTTCCTGGTGGTCTTTTTCTCCCACCCTGGCCCAGAATAATGGGCCAATTAATGCCAGTGGTGGTTTCTAGTAATATCCGACAAGGGGAATATATGAGGCTATTACTATGTGCCTCGGAGGGTCACACAAGGCTGATAGGAAGAGGACGTGATGGTGGTAGTGTAGTGTTGGTGGTCACTGAGATAGTGTGAAGTTGATAGCAGTTTTAGTGTGTTAGTGGCAAAGCTTTGAAGGTGATATGTTGGTACAGTGGTAGAGGTAATATGGTGATAGTGGTAGAGATAATATGGTGTCATTGGAGGTGGTAAAACATTACAGATGGGCACTGGAGGAACTGAAATCCTTAAGATTACATATCCGTTAATTAAGCTCTGCCCACGTTAATGTGCCCATTGTTACTGCTTCATCATTTCACTACTTTCACCTCATTGGTTCATCTATGGCTCTATTATATTGTTAAAGATTGATGTCCAGGCGAAACATCTCTCAAATACTCAGATGATGCACATGTCTTATTCAGCCATTTGTCGGTAAATGTATACCTTCGATCTAACCATATCCATTCTGTAATAGTAGACGGAAATACCGACAGGCTGTAGTTAATATAGACACACAAGCAGCAAATTTTATTAAGATCTAACAATATCTCGCCTGCATAGTAGGCTATTTCAAAACATACATGATAGAGCCTCTTGTACAGGCTAATTTTTTTCTTAATAAAGTTTCTAACTGCTGATTGTTAAGTACAGTATATTCATTCTGTAGTAAGGATGCCAAAATATATATATATATATATATATATATATATATATATATATATATATATATATATATATATATATATATATATATAATATATATATATATATATATATATATATATATATATATATATATATAATATATATATATATATATATATATATATATATATATATATATATATATATATATATATATATATATATATATATATATATATATATATATTTACATGATGGTAGGATTGCTGGTGTCTTTTGTCTGTCTCATAAACATGCAAGATTTCAGGTATGTCTTGCTACTTCTACTTGCACTTATGTCACACTTCACATACATGTACAAACATATATATACACACCCCTCTGGGTATTCTTCTATTTTCTTTCTAGTTCTTGTTCTTGTTTATTTCCTCTTATCTCCATGGGGAAGTGGAACAGAATTCTTCCTCCGTAAGCCATGCGTGTTGTAAGAGGCGACGAAAATGGCGGGAGCAAGGGGCTAGTAACCCCCTTCTCCCGTATAAATTATTAAATTTAAAAGAGAAACTTTCGTTTTTCTTTTTGAGCCACCCTGCCTTGGTGGGATATGGCCGGTGTGTTGAAAGAAATATATATATATATATATATATATATATATATATATATATATATATATATATATATATATATATATATATATATATATATATATATATATATATATATATATATATATATATATATATATATGTCGTATCGAATAAGGCAAGCGAAAATTTGTGTTTGCAATAATTTCGCAAAAATCATTCTGAACCTAACGAAAAAAATATATTTCATTGTTTGTTTATTAGTAAATTACTGCAAACTTATCTAAAATATATTTAGCTGGATTAAGCTAAATTAAATTGCTGTTGTTATAATAAAGTTTGGTAAGTTTTTTAGGGTTCTTTTGGTACAAAATTGTTAAGTTTTACATTAACATAAATGAAAAAAATATATCTTTAAGCGTATAAGAGAAAATTTTAGAAAGGACTTAATTTTAAATGAGTGCTTGGTAATTGACCTGTTTTACCTATTCGACACGATATATACGAATAAATGGTCAGTTGAAGTCGTTCAACGGCGGTACTTCATATGACTTTGTTTTGCTGAGAATAAACTGCTTTTTCAGATTTGGGAACACCGATATCTTCAGTACGTATTTCCTCTCGAGGTGAATAACAGCAACATACATGGAGTCGTGGTGTCCTTTGTTGATCAACATGAATTTGTTGACTACGAATTTGTCTTTTCCGATCTGAGGCAAGGAAACATCGTGTCTCCTTTCGGATTTCGGGGATCGTCCTTTCTGCTAACCCTCGCCATCCAGCATTTCTGTGGTTGGGATGAGCATCTCTTGATCCATCCCTGCCTCACTGTCCGGGCTGGTTTCACTTGTGTCACTGTCAAATGAGTCTAGGAAATGGTCTCACAGCTTCCTCAGAATTGTGCCGCACATTTCCTCACCAGAGTCCTTGGAACATCCTCGTATCCTCTTCCTTTCGAAAGAAGCCGTGTGCAACAGCTGTCCTGTTCAGTCGTGCCGGTGACGGCTATTGGATGACCAGACACCTTCACCTGATATTCAAGAAAGACATGTTTTCTCTACTATATATACTATGTTCTCTTATTCTCTTATATTATCTGCAGTGACCAAGGTCCCAGGACCTAAGTGTTTCCTATAAAGATGACCTAAGTGTATGATGCATTTGTATCCTTTCATCCATATTTTTGGTACCGTTATACCGTCTATTTTGAAGAGGTTATCATAGCCAGCCCCATGAAGAAGGTTATAACCAGCCCCATGAAGAATGTTATAACCAGCCCCATGAAGAATGTTATTGTCAGCCCCATGAAGAAGGATATCATAGTCAGCCCCATGAAGGTTATCATAGCCAGCTCCATGAAGGTTATGAGCTGCGAAATATTTAATATTCTGTGAGCACCCATCTCAGATTAAGTGCGTACTCGTGGCTTGGTTGATAGCGTCCTCGCCTCAGATACTGGGAATCCGGGGTAGATACCCGGCGCAGGTGGATTATTATTATAATCAAGGGGGAAGCGCTAAACCCGGAGGATTATACAGCGCCTGGGGGGGGGGTCTGTGGAAGGCATTCAGGCTTAATTCGGGGAACTGGAGCACAGATCCAATTCCCTAAATCAAGAGCCCCTCACCAACATCAAGGAACCTTCCTTGAGGGCGGCGCAGGTGGAACATTGGGCATGTTTCCTTACACCTGCTGCCTTTGTTCATTCAGCAGTAAGTAGGTACATAACTGTCCAGTCTATTTTTAAAGCTACCCAAACTTCTCCCTTCATTGACCTTACTCATGAGTTTGTTACACTCATCCACAACTCTATTGCCAAACCAGTGCTTTCCTATATCATTTCTAGATCTATTTTTTTCCAACTTAACCCATTGCTGTGACTTAGTAAACTTGACACAAGTTTGGATATGACTCTTCCAGGTAAGTACGAGGTGAGTAAACCTAGGCGAGTACAAGGGATTAAAATTACGTAAGTTAACAGAGTACTAATATCAGAGTACAAGAGTAAAACCTGACATTCAACTGAGTACACCAAGGATATTTACAACTATCCAAGTAGATAAAACACCTCAATTACTGGGAGCGCTTGAGGTTCCTGAACCTGTATTCCCTGGAATGCAGGCGGGAGAGATACATAATTATATACACCTGGAAAATCCTAGAGGGACTAGTACCGAACTTGCACACGAAAATCACTCACTACGAAAGCAAAAGACTTGGCAGACGATGCAACATCCCCCAATGAAAAGCAGGGGTGTCACTAGCACGTTAAGAGACCATACAATAAGTGTCAGGGGCCCGAGACTGTTCAACTGCCTCCCAGCATACACAAGGGGGATTACCAACAGACCCCTGGCAGTCTTCAAGCTGGCACTGGACAAGCACCTAAAGTCGGTTCCTGACCAGCCGGGCTGTGGCTCGTACGTTGGTTTGCGTGCAGCCAGCAGCAACAGCCTGGTTGATCAGGCTCTGATCCACCAGGAGGCCTGGTCACAGACCGGGCCGCGGGGGCGTTGACCCCCGGAACTCTCTCCAGGTAAACTCCAGGTAAGTACAACTCAGTAAGAACAACCGAGTACAACTCGGCGATTACAACTAGGTGAGAACACTTGGGAGAGTACAGCTAAGTGATTGCAACTAGGCAAGAACAACTACTGCGTGGAATAGACAAGGTGGACAGATACAGGATGTTCCAGAGATGGGACATAGAAACAAGGTCACAATTGGAAGTTGAAGACCCAGATGAGTCAAAGGGATGTTAGGAAGTATTTCTTCAGTCATAGAGTAGTCAGGAAGTGGAATAGCCTAGCAAGTGAGGTAGTGGAGGCAGGAACCATACACAGCTTTAAGATGAGGTATGATGAAGCTCATGGAGCAGGGAGAGAGATGACCTAGTAGCATTCGGTGAAGAGACGGGGCCGGGAGTTGAGTCTCGACCCCTGCAACCACAATTAGGCGAGTACTTAGGGGAGTACAACTAGGTGAGCACAAGTAGGTGAATACAACTACAGATGAATACAACCCAGATGAATCACAGGGATGTTAGGAAGTATTTCTTCAGCCACAGAGTAGTCAGGAAGTGGAATAGTTTGGGAAGCGATGTAGTGGAGGCAGGATCCATACATAGCTTTAAGCAGAAGTATGATGAAGCTCACGGTTCAGTGAGAGTGCCCTAGTAGCGACCAGTGAAGAGGCGGGGCCAGGAGCTTGGACTCGACCCCTGCAACCTCAACTTGGTGAGTACAACTAGGCTAGTACAACTAGGCGAGTTCAGGTAGGTGATTAAAACTAGGTGAGTATAATTAAGCGAGTATGACTAGGTGAGTACAACTAAGCGAGTACAATTAGGCGAGTCCAGCTAGATGAGTACAACTAGGCGAGCACACCGACGTGAGTACAATTAGGTAAGTACAACTAGGTGAACACGGTGCGCTTGTCGAGTCTAAGTGTTTCTCTCCAGCCCCGCCAAACCATTGTAAACATGGCTACTCTGCAGCCCAAGGAACAGCTCTCTCTAGGTAAATACCACCGAATTCATCTTTGAAGGAAGATGCCCTATTGGTGGTGAAGGGCTCTTGAGCCGAGGAATTGGAGCTACCCTCCCCTTCCTTCGATCAAATCTGATTTCCTCCCGTTTTTACCCCCTGGTGCAGTATGACACTCGGGATTCAACGGGATCTTCACATGAATAATATAATGAAACGACATAATTCTGTAGTTATGTAGTGATAATATACCTTCATGACGGCTGGTAAATTTATATAAATGCTTTAATTTCTAGATGGAGCGAGTGAGCAGGGTTTCCTGGCCTACTATGGTGGTTTACCTGAGGTACGTTTACAAGGTTATAATTACGACTTCTACTGCTAGGCTTTAAATAATAAGATGTTACAAGGACCCCAATGGAAATAAGTCACTGTCTTTTTTGGGCTAGCTTAGGTAATTCACACTGCAAATTGTACTTGTGTACCTGTACCTAAATAAACTTACTTTAGGACTCTTGTAAAGTTACAAATGGAGTTTAACACCGGTGTGCAACAAATGATACGTGCTGTAACCAGGACATTTATTAATTAAAGAGATGTTTTGTCCACCTTGAGATTATGAATAAGTTTATTTAGTTTCAGGTATACATAAATACAATTATCATACATAATAATATATGTGTCAATTACCTAGGATAACCCAGTTAGGGAGACACGAGGGTTGGTGGAACTGGTATGGTAAGTTTGGGTACAGGTACACATAAGTACTATTATCATACATATTGTAAATTATGTAGGATGGCCACAAAAAAGTCAAAGTTGCTTATTTCCATTGGGGTTGGCTCCAGGAGCTTAGGGGTGGCAACCCATGTGCTCATGGGAGGTTCTTTGATGCTGGTGAGGGGCTCTTGATTGTGTTGAACACCAGACCTGACCCATGTCTTTTATTCTCTGTATTGGATTAATAAAACCCTTAGTTGGCTAAACACCTTAATTAATGAATGTCCTAGTTACTGCCTATGTCTTTCTTGCAAGAAATTTTATGGAAATAAGTCTTATTGTTTGGCTTTATTGGTAAAGGGCTCTTGATACATGGACTTTGAACTACTCTCCCCTTCCTTGAATCAAACTTAATTATCTCATGTTTCCTAAGTGTTGTATAACCCTCTGTGGACTTAGTGCTTCAAGTACCTGAGTTTACTGGTTGCATGTACAGCGGAATCTCGGTTTTCGTGTTTAATCTGTTCCATAGCGATTGGCGAAAATGGAAATCGGCGAAAACGGAAACCATTTTCCCCATAAGAAATAATGTAAATTCAATTAATCCGTTCCAGACACCCAGAAGTATTAACAAAAAAATTTTTTTTTACCTTAAAGAATGAACATTCAACGTGACACTTACCTTAATTGATGGCTGTTGTTGATGGATGGAAGACAGGGAGGAGGGGAGAGGGAAGAGGTTATTCTTTGGAAGGGGAATCCCCCTCCATAAGGACTCCAGGTACCACGTCCTTATCTGGGGTCACTTCCCTCTGTTTTTTAATGCCACTAGGACCAGCTTAAGAGTCACTGCACCCCTGTTGCAAAAAATATCTGTCCAGAGTGCTCTGTTTCTGGCATCTCTTTAAGATTTGCCTAAAATGAGACATGGCATTGTCATTGTAAAAGTCACCAGCACGGATTGCAGCAGCTTTCTCAGGGTGATGTTCCTCCACAAATGAATCACTTTAGTCCACATTGCACAAATCTCCTTAATCTTTGAAGAAGGCACCTACTTCCATCTCTCTTCCTCCTCCTCTGAAGCAAGTTCCTCAACTGTGGTCTGTTGCTGTTGCGGATGAAGCTCTTGCAGCTCATCAGTGGTTAGCTCTTCATTGTGGTCCTCCACCAACTCTTCCATATCGTTGCCACTCGCATCCAGCCACATGGAATTCCCCAATGCCACAATTGATTTCACAACAGGTGTAGGGTCGACAGGGTCAGCCTCAAACCCTTCAAAATCCTTCTTTTGGACACAATCTGGCCACAGTTTTCCCCAAGCAGAGTTCATCATCCTGGAAGTCATTCCCTGCCAAGTCTTATCTATAAGGCCCTTGCAGTGGAAGGTATTGAAGTGATTCTTCCAGAACTCTCATAGGGTCAATTCAGAGTCCGAGGTTATGTCAAAGCACCTTTGAAACGTTGCTTTGGTGTACAGTTTCTTGAAGTTTGCAATGATCTGCTGGTCCATAGGCTGGATGAGAGGAGTGGTGTTAGGAGGCAAAAACTTCACTGTTACGAAGCTGAATTCCTTAGACAATTGGTCTTCCAAGTCTGGAGGATGAGCAGCAGGGGCATTGTCCACTAACAGGAGGCACTGGAGTCGCAATTTATTATCCAGGAGGCATTTCTTCACACTCGGGCCAAACACCTCATTGAACCATTCCAGGAAAATTTCCCTAGTGACCCATGCCCTACTGTTAGCCTTCCACATCATACACAATTTACTCTTGAGAACACTTTTTCTTGAACATTCTGGGATTTTCAGAGTGATACATGAGTAAAGGCTTCACTTTGAAATCCCCACTAGCATTACCACACAACAAGAGAGTTAGCCTGTCTTTCATAGGCTTGTGTCCTGGGAGTACCTTTTCCTCCTGTGTGATGTAGGTCCTCTTTGGCATTTTCTTCCAGAACAGGCCTGTTTCTTCACAATTGAACACTTGTTGGGGTTGAAATTTTTCAACCTCTACATAACCTTTGAATTCCCGCACAAATTTTTCAGCCTCTTGTCTGTCTGAACTGGCACCCTCACCATGCCTTACAACACTGTGTATGCTACTTCACTTCTTGAATTTTTCGAACCAGCCTTTACTGGCTTTAAATTCACCAACATCAGCACTCGTTTCAGACAGTTTCTTTATGAGATCACCATGCAGCTCCTTTGCTTTTTTCACATATTATTGACTGCACAACACTATCTCCTGCTAACTCTCTCTGATCCACACCAACAACAATTTTTCCACTTCTTCATTTATCTGGGATCTCTATTTGGTTATCGCATTCACCCTTTTCGTAACATCAGCTTCCGTGATTTCTTTTCTCTTTACCACAATGGAGCTGATCATTGATGGCGCCTTCCCGTACATCCTGCCGAGTTCAGCAATGCGTATGCCACTCGTATTTTTGTATAATTTCTTTTTTCATTTCTACGGTGTTCCTCACATTCTTTACCAAAGGACTGGCACTAGGAGCTTTCTTTGGGGCCATGGTGGCTTATTTAGCAGTCACACAATAAATAAGTGCTAAAACAATGGACTATTATGAAATGTTTCAAATGACCTGGCAGGATATGTTCACTCACTGAAAAACAACGCTATGCTGCCTGAGACTGCGTGAGGTAGGTGGCTTTGTCTGTACATTGGGCACTGGACAGGTTCCGTACGATCGACGAAAACAGAGGAAATCGATGAAAATGGAACCAAAACATCAACAAAAATAGTCAAAAATGGAAATTGGCACTATCAGAGATCAACAAAAAGGGAGGGTCCACTGTACACAGTTTTGACACCTTCAACAGGCAGTCAATTTCATAATACTACGTGTAAATACATATACAGTATAATGATATAGCACTCAAAACATTGTTCTAGCTAGATGCTAATCCATTTAGAGCTTGCTTTCTGTCTTTTGTAGTTGTTTTACCCATTTCTGTCATTTTTAGTAGTGACATGTAGAGTACATCACTTAAATTCTCATTTTTCATTAGGCATTGATAAACATTTTAAAGGATTGAGGTGCATTTACTTGTGTGAATAATTTTTTAGAATTTATAACATTCATATTCAGTTTGGTTAATATTGAGGTTAGTTATTAAGTATTTTATTATGTAAATTCACCTGTATTTGGTGGGTTATGACAGTGGGTTATGTAATGGAGTTAATTATTTTTGAGTAAAACGTGTAAAAACTATTTTTTTTTTTTTTGTTAAAATCTATGGTAATATAACCAGACATAACCCAGCCTTACTTAACCAACCTAACCTAACTTGAAATTACTAATTTTCTAGGCTATGTTGGATGATGTTAGTCTAGGTTTGTTTGCCCAAAAGAAATTTTCCCTATAGGCCAACTTAATGTTTTAGAATTTACATATTAAACCATATTTAAATTGAAATCTGAGCAGCTAATGCCATTTTTTAAGAAGAAATAAGCTAAATACAGTGTGATAAGGTTATTTCATAATCATTTTCTCTTGCTAGAAACCAAATACTACGGTGAGAGTGTTTGACCGCGGAGACTACTATACTGTGCACGGCCAAGATGCCCTGCTGGCTGCACGAGATCTCTTTCGGACTAATTCTGTGGTAAAGCACTTAGGATCAGGTTAGTACTGTACTTGCTATTTGTTTTTTATATTTGATAAATACTGTAATTGGTAAATATTTGGAGCTCAGATTAGTTATTTGTAATTTAGTGTTAGCATTTTCAACTTGGAAACAAGGGACAGGGCAAGGCGAGATGTATGGACAAGTTGCTGTACACTTATTGCCCCCTATTGACCTAGCAGAGAATTACTGTAATTAAGGTTTACAGAGAGGCACAGTTGATAGAACAGTAACTGACAGATGTTAACTAGTCACAAATATTCTTCTGCATGAATTCTAATTGCTAAAGATGCAGGTGATGAATGGTAAGGGTAGAATATTTTTGTGAGGGTCCAAGGGGGCATGATAATCAGTAAGGGGCAGATCAGGAAGACTGAAGTGATGGGTAGTGCAGGTGGTAGGGAAGCTGCGATAGTGAGGGGGAAAATCTTTGCTGTGATTTTGTTGTTTTATGTATTAGAAAACTGCAGAATTCTCCTGAAGCATGTTTTATTGATCTTTCATGTTCAGTGATTCTGGATGTAGGTCTTGGCTAGTTTGTCCTATGTACATAGTAGAACTAGGCATAGGGGTGAAAGGGGCAGGGAAAGCATTGTAGTGCAAAGGGCAGGCAGGATGCAATGATGGGCAGGGAAAGTATTGTGGTGCAGGGAAGAACAAAAAGGGGAGGGTGCAGGGGAAGGACTGCATTGCAATGAAAGGGGGATAGAAGGAAAGCAGATAATGGAGGTGGGAGTAGGTACCTGTTGCATTAATTATAGCAAAATCTAACCTATCTAAATGTATTATTAAAGCTGATTTTAACCAAATTGGTTATTATAACTTCCTGGTTTTACTGGTTTCCTTGAGATATTTTCTCAGTAAAACAGCACCTCAAATGCTCACTCTGATCTCTCATGTTCACATATTTTTACTGGATGTACAAGCTCTACCTCTCAGTTGGCATCTGTTTTTAATATAATTATTAGAATTATCCAACTTCTCACAACCTAGTAATTTTTCCTTCCACTGCCCTTATACTGTATTTTCTTCCATCCACTTTAAATTTGTATACTGTACTTGATTTATCAAACTATTATGTCTACATGATCAAACCTTCACAACACAAACCTCTCTAATGCTCCTTGAGTTATACCTTATATACCACCATAATTTCTTCTAATTTCTATATTCCTTATAATTATACATGCCTGATATATTCATTCCCAATAAACTAATTCTATTCAGTTCCCACTACATTCTTTGCTTCCTTCTGATCTCCAATCTCTCATTCTATATACTCTTCTGCTTATTTATTTTGTTTTTACTGCATACACTTTTAACTTTGTGCTTGTGCGCTTTTTTCTCGGCTTCTCTGCCAACCTCAGGAGCTTCTCATTCAAATCTCCTAATAGCACTAGCTCATCTGTAAGTAGCAATTGTTACAATTCCCACTTGAAATCAGATTCATTATCTTATAATACCAAACCTTTCCTGAATGCAATCAGCATTTACTTCCCTTACAATCTCATCTATAAATAAAGCAGTTCACAATGACTAATGACATCACATGTCTTTGTCTAAATGTAACATATTCATGTCTTTACCATTTTTATCATGCAGGCAACAAAAAGTTGGAATCTGTGGTGCTTAGCCGCCTGAACTTTGAGTCTCTGGTGCGGGACCTTTTGTTGGTGAAGCACTACAGAGTGGAAGTATATAAACAGAAGAGTTCAAGAAATGACTGGGATGTTGAGTACAAGGTTAGCTGGTCTGCTTGTTAGACAGTTATGTATTTCAGAGTATGAAACCTTTGCTCTGGCTATTTTCATTACCAACAAATTACTTCTAGAGAATATGGGTGCTTTAATAAAGACTATTTTTCTGGTTTTGATAATGATTGCACTGGTCTTTAAAAGTATAATGAGTATAGAGTATAAATAAGACAAGTAAAATATATTAATTTCAGATAAGTAGTATAATATGATTAATTGACACTTAGATACAATGGATAAATTTATTTACAACAGTATTTTGCCACAAAGTGGGCTTCATTAATGTAATATAGAATACATGAGAAAGAGGTGAGTGGGGATATAGTTTTGGAGTGGTTGGTACTTTTGTTCGGTAAATGTATGAAAAAGGGAAGGTACATAGAGATCAGCAAAGAGCATGCATAGTTTCTTTGTATAAAGGGAAGAGGGACAAAAGAGTGTAAAAAATGATAGGGAAATAAGCCTGTTGGGTATAGTACCAGGGCAAGATAGAGAGCAGGATTGCAGATGAACAAGGAGGCTTTAGGAAGGGTAGGGAATGTGTAGACCAAGTGTTTACATTTATTCTCTGTTGACTTGATAAAGCCCACAGTGTGAGTGAAACATTGTAAATAAACATAAATAAATGTATCCACTGCATATCAGTGCTGTTTACTTCACCTTGTTGGTATTTTCATACCATTCCAGCTCTAGAATGTGATTTTCATTAGTATTATTTTGTGTCACCATAGCAGATGGACGGTCAGGTCTTCATCACTCCTTGAGATGAATGATCAATGTGGTGTTAGTGAGAATAATACAAAAACTATTGGGAGTGTTTTTGTTACCTGATGGTGACTGGCACACTAAAGTAGTGAGAAAGAACATTGCCAGGGGATAAATTGATAGGAAAAATTTTTGACCAATGATAAACCCTTGTAGGATGTTAGATATAATGGTTATATGGGCCTGTGAGCTGTAATCAGCATTAGTCTGGCTGATCAGTTGATCATCAAGGATGTCTGCCAGAGGCCAGGCTGTCAGAGTAAATTTAAACTTTTAATGGGAGGTAAATCACAGGAATTTTACAATATTTTAAACCAAGACATCCAAGTTCTTTCACCAGATATTTATGCACTTGTGTGTTTCAGATTTCTCTAGATTATTTTTTTTTTTTCAGGCTTCTCCGGGCAACTTGAGTCAGTTTGAAGAGGTGCTGTTTGGGGCTAATAACGAGCTTACAGTAACAACGGGTGTTATGGCTGTCAAGCTAGCTGTGGAAAATGGCCAGAGAGTAAGAATTATTAAAAGTTTTTCTTTTTTACTATTTTACCTTGTTTATATATTTGATGCATTGGTATTTCCACAGATAACACTTAAATTTGTGGCCATGATAAAATTCTAAAAGCATCCCTCTGTAAGCATGAGCTGCTCCTGCACTTTATTCTGTACCCCTTATGGCAGGTACCATGAGATTTATCACTCGAGTAATTTTAAATTTTTCTCACTTTGGTATCCAGCTTTACAAGGCATCCATCACTGTCTTGTGTTAGGCAAGTACAGTCAGGTAACATGTCTGCCTCAAAATTCGAGGGCCAGAAGATCAAGCCTCCACCTCTGTAAGAAATATTCCCTCATATTTCTTAGTGTCTTAATCCTTTCCAGCTACTTATACAGTACATATTTCTTATATTGTTTAAGCAGCTTAAATTTTACATGTATGTGCCTCATTCCATGTCCATTTTTAACTCGTATGTCAAGGTTGAAATAAGTACTGTCACTCTGTTTTTAATTACTCTACATCAGTAGTACATAATCATTTTTATGGTTCTAGAGTTTTATTCTCCCTTCTACAATTCTTTTCTTTATTTTTGTCTCCTTGATTCCCATGTTTGCACAGTACTAATCCGTATTTTTTAATATAATACATTACATTATTAATAAATTGTATACTGTATTTTTATATAGTGTATATGAGGTGTTGCATGAGAAAAAAGAATACATACTGAATTCACACAGTGGAGAAAAACAGTCGTGCTGGAGATTGGAACTATGAAACTTAAGTTAACATATTTTATGGGTTTTGAGCCTAATTTAAAGATGCAGAAAACAATATCTACACATTCCCACAAGCAAACAGTGCATTAAGGAATGAGTTCATACACTAACCCAGATTTTGGCAATGGTGGTGCTTATTCTTTGCTGCTGTGCGACACTTCGTATGCAAAATTCTTGAATTCTTATTTATTATTAACCCTTAAATGGTCCAAACGTATATATAAGTTTTTTCAACATCTGAAAGTATGTAAAAAAATGTAGATCTTCTTTTTTGTTTTACATTTGAAAACGTGTAAAAAAAAACTTTTATCTACATTTTTTTTTTCTTACATTTGAAAATATGTTAAAAAAAGTAGATCTACTTTTGTAGCACTACGAATTTGAACGTCAATTTGTTTGGACCGTTTAAGGGTTAAAGGCCTTTGATAAAATTTATTTAGCAAATTAATGGTGCATATTATTAGGAAACCAAGAGGTCATGGTGAAGATAAGTGAATTTTAATGTTAGTGTAAAGAGTAATGGTTCATAACATTAAGATTTGTTGACTGCAGCCATTTATGATGGTACTGTAAAAGAGGCTTCAAATTAAAGAGTCCCACAGATAAAAAATGAAAAATTTCATATAAAATTTTTGCTTAAAAAGAATTTAGTAGTACTTATAGTATGAATTAGCATGCAGTAATAGGATTTTTTTTTTTTTGCAGTTCTGTGATTGTTATGATTTTTCATAGGTGGTTGGAGTTGGTTATGTGGATGTAACTGGCAGGTTGATGACTGTGTCTGAGTTTAATGATAATGACACATTCAGTAACTTGGAAGCACTGGTGGTACAGCTGGGACCTCGGGAATGTCTCATTCCTATGGGTGATATGGGCCCGGATGGCGCCAAGCTCAAGCAGGTAGGATATTGCCATAATGAAGAAGTATTGATTTGCCTAAGGGCTGCCTATCTGTAGGTTACTTGAAGATGGCTCTGGGTATCATCACTATAATAGTCTGTTATTCACTGTTCATTGCACTTATTGCTTGCTGTCCATTAGATTGTTATTTAGCCTTCCCATTGTATCATTATCATTAAATCCTATGATGTTGTTATGGGGTAATTGGCTGTTGGTCTGGCTAGCAAGATCACTAGTCTGCTTGCTCTGTAACACTTAATATTTTGTACTACTTATCCTCTAGGTGCAAGTGTGTGGAACCCATAACCTCGTAAAAGTACTGTAAATAAAAAACTTCAAGGAAAACTACAGATTTTTTCTTGAGGCTGTTTCAATACTCTACTTCTACCACTTGAAACTTTGTTTTGGCACCGGAGGCATTTAAATATCACTGTAAAATTTTGGGATGGTTAGGAACATATTTAACATTCTGTATTAGATCTGATCAGTATGAAACTGATACTGTTGTTGGAATGTTGTTACACACACTTTTTTTAACTGAATGGTTATCTCCTGCTAAGACAGGGAAAAAGTTGTTACTCTGCCTCACAGTAAAAATTATATTTTAGCTCTTATAATGTAAAAGTAAAGCTACGAAGGAGTGATTTTTTTAATCTAAATAAGTTACTGTGTTTCAATACTGAGATCAAAGTTGAAGGTGTTTTGTAATGATAAGTTGATGTTTGTGTTGGGAGCTAGCTGGGGCGTTGGTTTCTTTCTTCGATGCTTGTCATGTAGTTCGTTTTTCCTAGGACCTGCTCCAGTCATTCCAGATTGTCTAAATATTTGATGAGATCAGGAGGGTAAGTCATGAATATTTTAGCACAGGCACTTGTCAGTCTTTTTTTATTTTACTTGTATTTGTTGTGCAGTAGTGATATAGCTTCTTTTTGATACCCAGTTTGTTTGCTCTTTTACGAGTCACTTTGAGATGCCACTCAGCTGTGGGAAATTGTTTGTCATCTTTATTTTTATTCATGTTGCTGTAGTTGTCTGTTTGACCAGCTTAATACTTTTTTTTTTTTTTTTTTTCAACTTCTGCTTTCTATATCCCAATTAATCTTAATTATATTTTTCTGCATTTCCATCATTCACTAGTTATTACAGCATATCAAAATTTGTAAGGAAATCTTTCATTGCTTGATCTGATATTTTGATGAGGATGCTTGGGTTTCACCCTGGGGATTAAAATGGGCCATTCTTTATAACTTTCTTATAATACATTTTTGGGAGAGTACTTTTCTACAATTGTATGCCACAGTATTAACTATGTATTAACTATGCATATTTTGTGCCATTATATTGCAAACATTAGTTTGATGATTAACTAGCTTTAGCCTGACAGGTATTGTCTCGAAATCCATTGCTTGTGACCGAAAGGAAGAGAGCCGAATTTAACAATAAAGATGCTGCACAGGACCTTAGCCGTTTACTACATAAGAAAGGTGGTGATGTGTTGGCTACCTCAGCCCGTCCTGAGATGGATCGAACAAGTGCCATTGCTGCACTGTCTGCTGTCATTAAGTACCTAGAGGTTAGTGTTGGAGCTATAAAAGTTAGAAAAACTTTTGGGTATTGTGTTATTTTGAATAATATTACAGCAATAAGACTTGACTGACATGATTTGATAAATTATGCTAGCCAGCAAAATTTAACTTTTTATTGAATTCAGAAGCCAACTTGGATGCACTGATCACAAATCTGAGCTTATTTAATTTTTATCACGTAAATAATTTTTTAAAATCGTGTGATTAATATTTTGGCTGTTTAAGGTTGAAGGACCTAACAATCATAAGTATTATATTATGCATGTATGCAATGACAAAAACTAATTTTGCTTAATGTAAATTCATTATATATATGTATAACAGAAGTAAAACTAATTTCATAGTCATACAACCATAAATAACAAAAAAAGGCACAATACGATGACTGGAACAATACACAAATAACCCGCTCATAGAAGAGAGGAGCTTATGATGATGTTTCAATCTGACTTGGACCATTTAAGTCGTTATAAGCTCCTCTCTTCTGTGTGCTGGTTATTTGTGTATCATACAACTATGTCTGTATCACAGTTTTCAGACTGTTTCACTTATGTTCAGTAATGCTTTCCCCTACTAGTGTTTAGCAGTAGTCAGCAATCAAACTGATTGTCAGTTTTTCCTGATAGTTCTGTTCCATAATGGCTGTCATCGTGAAATCATTCACTGTGGGGTTCTATTTCACATAAACTATATGTGTTGGAGCAAAACTAAGTTCAGATTTGAATTTAGCATCCTTAAATTAGAAGGAAATGCGTATTTTTAAATGTGAACTAAAACCTTTGTTAGTCACTCTTATAGGAAAATGTTAAAAAGCTCTTTACAAATTTTGATGTTAATGTGAAATATTTTACCATTTTGTCATAGCTCCTAGGGGATGAATCAAACTTTGGACAGTTTACAATGTCTCTGTATGACCTGAGCCAGTACATGCGGCTTGACAGTGCAGCAGTTCGGGCTCTGCATGTGGAGCCCCTTGGTAGTGGTGAAGTATCTGGCACTACTGCTAAGACACACACCATTCTTGGTCTCCTGGATAAGTGTCGCACGCCTCTTGGCCATCGCTTGCTCCAACAGTGGCTCAGACAACCATTGGTGGACATTAATAAGATAGGTGAGTCTTTTGACAGTTTTCATGGAAAATCTCCTCTAAGGTGGGTGAAGAGAACAAAAATCTCCAAGCTACCTTGGCATCAGGCTTGACTGATGCCCTACAACACCACTTATCCATCTCAAGAGTTGCATGCAACATGCTTTCTGTATTTTCATCAGTGGTTTGTTTTCCAGATAGTGTTTATAATTTCTCATCTTAACTAATAGCCTACTACTTTCCTATCTCTCCATTACTACCTTCATTTTTTCTCTTGCTTCCTAGGTTTGTACATCAATTTTGTAACATCCATTTAAAAATCCTCACTTTTTGTAGGACATTAAATTTTTCATAATATTTGCATGAAATGACTGAGACATGAACAACTCTGATACACAATTTCTTGCACTACACATTACTATGCAGTCCCCAACATTTGTGCCTCTTTTAATGGACTTTGACTAATTTAGGGCATCTGCAGATTGGGCTCAGAGAACTGGGCTTGTTTCTACTTTGCTATCTACAATAAATGCATCTAGAGAAGAAAAAGATTTTTTTCTTCTTCAACAAGTCGGCCGTCTTCCATCAGGGGAGGGTGTACTTCCCATTTCCAGTACTCAAGCCGGCTATATAAAAATAACCAGTTTCCCTGAATCCCTTCACTAAATATTACCCTGCTCACACTCCAAAAGAAATGACATAAGTTATTTTGCACTTAGCTCTTCAATTTATAGTTTAAGCTCTCTGAGCTTTATGTATTTATGATCATAAATATAGAGCTTTCATATTGGAGAGCATTGCTGTATGACCCCTATCAGTTCAGTGCTTGTTTTTAATATAATACATGTTACAGAGGAACGGCTTGATTTGGTTGAGGCTGTAGTATCGTCAGTGGAGCTGCGTCACAGTCTTGGGGAGGAGCACTTGCGTCGTATTCCTGACCTGAACCGCCTGGCGAGAAAACTGGCCCGAAAAGCAGGCACACTTCAGGATTGTTATAAGTACATATACATGATTTAGAACTGTGAACTACCAATGATAAAATATAAATTCTTAAACTGCAATTGTGTTGTGGATGCTACATACTAGTTTTTTCTTACATAAAAGCACATTATGAATCACTTATTTTACAGTGTAAAAATTTATTCTTATAGGAGCATTTTACACAACAGATTTTACCAGTGTGCTGAACGACTGCCAAATTTATGTGAAGCTATAGCTAAGTACGATGGGCCTCATGTAGCATCTCTAGCAGCAGTCTTCACTACTCCACTTCAGGTGAGGCGCACTGAAATAAACCGCCCTACAAAAATAATAACTAGATGTATTTCAGTCACTGCTATATAATAAAGGTATCCCTGTATTTCCTAAACCCAGTTCTCCCATTACCTCAGTGCATGCGATTAATATTGTGCAGTGTGTGGCATCATGAGTTGATAATGCAGTTAAATATTAGTTGTGAATGCCTCTTCTCATTCCCTTCAAAAGTCACCCTGAGGCAGCTAATATCTGGATTTCATCAATAAAATCAGTAAATTAGGATATTACACATCCTCAGCATATTCATACCTTTCAGAGAGAGTATTATCCTAAAAGACACAAGCACATTAAGCTTGATGCTACTCAGAAGTTGCATTATAGTTATCAGCTTGAAAGGATTTCAGCTAATCAGATGTGGCACTGAAATTATCACATGAAAGCAGTATTTTAATTTTTTCAGTTTTCAAACTTTTTCCCAAGACTGACCACCTTTTAAAAAAGTAAGTACAGTAACTTTTATTTAAGTTTAGTGTACATAAGATAGAAATTTTTAACATGCAGCTAAAAATTGGCCTGCAGGTCACCTAAAATTTTGTGGTCTGTTATGCCTATTTGAAAATATTAGTATTGGTGTAATCCATGGTAACTGTGTTCTTTTACATAATGTTCTACATTTAAATTTTCCCTCGCTTTTTTATTTGTCCTAAAGGAGCTGCTGTCAGATCTGGCAAAGTTTCAGGAAATGATAGAAACCACTGTAGACATGGAACAGGCTAATCATGGAGAGTATGTCATCAAGCCAGATTTTGATGAAACACTAGCAGGTAAGAAAAGTTAAATTAGATATTTCTTTAAATAGATCATGCCATTGTGTAAAAGTGGAAAGCAGTAGAGTATTACATTTTTAAGGTTTGAAGCTGTACATGTGTTATTTTTAGGTTTCCAAACGATTTTACTTAAAATCTTTTGCTTCATTAAGTGCTATTGGCTTAACTAATATAAAATTTTGTTTCAATCTGTGTGAAGTCCTTTGTTCTTTGTTCTGTTATAACCACATCTCTAAAAGCATTCTTCATAGCACTTATGTTGTATTATCGTATATTATATTGGAATTTCATCAGTTAGTACCATTCATCCTTCTATAACTAGATAATTACATTTTTTTTTAATTGTTTTTTTAATTTTCATCTTTTTAATTTCCATTAATACCATCTGTTAGACCCCTTAAAACAAAAAAATAAATAGATATTAACCCTTTGACTGTCGCAACCCCAAATCCTGAGGTGCCTCCTGGTGTCGCAAAATATTTGAAAAAAAAAAATTATTTTTTCTTGTGAAATCATAGAGAATCTTTTCTCGATGGTAATGACACCAAAAGTACGAAAATTGAAAAACTTATGGAATTACGCTCTCGCGAAGTTAGCGACCTCGGCGATATTTATGAATCGGCAATTTCGCCCAATTTGAGCCCTATTTTCGGCTAATTCCATTGTTCCAGTCGACCAAACTCATAACTATTTCTTTAGAGCTCCATTTGTTCTATCGATTGAATACAAGAAACTGCCCATTTACCCAATAAAGTAGTCAGAAATTGGCAATTTGGCCAGTTTCACACAAATTAAAAAATATGCCAATTTCAAAATAGGGTCCAGAATGAACAATGCAGACATTCCTGGCTCTAAAATAATATTTTCTTTATTCATCAGCCACGTCTCCAAGCCCCTCTGATATTACTCTTCCTTTCTATTTAGAATTTTTATTCAGACCAAAAATAGAAGATTTACTGTTATGCAGACTACTGCAGTATTGTAATAATTGTATAAATAACATCAACCCATTCATGACTGCATATTAGAATGTCTAGTTGGACATTTATTGGACAATGACATCATTTGTTTACTCTTGAACTTTGGCAAAAATCAAACATTTTCCCTACTTGGAGCTCCATTTCAAGGTCCTTTTCATAGTAAAACCAATCAAAATCTCCTCTATTTCTGTAATATGTTTCCCATTTTATCAAATGTGACTACAGAAACGAGAATATAACAATAAAAACTATACGAAAATACACCTCAAAGTCGGCGTTTTAATCTAAAAACACAGTCGGAGTTTTTTTTTTCTCATGCACTACGTGCTGCAGGATTTTTTTTATATGGTGCACACTGACCACACAGACCCATTCTCTCACATGTGGGTCCTACCAACTTTCTCCTTCTTGATTTGAAGCCGCTAGAGTTTTTGAGTATGTATACGTCAAACACATTGGCTCATAAGACTGTTTACGATATTATTTCATTCCAGAAGTATGTTCAGGTGCCAGTACTGACCGAATTTGTTCCCATAAAGGAATATTGTGAATTAGATTAGTCCATTTCAGATCCCGAAACATACACATACAAACACAGTTACATAAATACACTTGCATAATTGGTCGCATTGGGAGCTGATCATAAACCGGGGGTCCACTGTATATACGACCGAAACAGTCAAAGGGTAAAGTTTTGCCCAAAGGGCTGTGCATTGTATAGACCTTCAGATTATTGCATGCTTTGTGTATGCAGTAATTTGAAATAAAAGAATTATATTGCATTGTACAGTATAGTTGCTTTTTCTTGATTTTCATATTTTTCCAGCAGTGTTATGTCAAATGTGCCTCATAAGCATTCACCCCTTAGGTATGGTTTGGTCCCCCATTACTTGGATTGTCATTGTAATAAAATATTTTTGCAATATTTGTAACTTTCTGATTACTGTATGTGCATGATAGTTAAAGCAGGTGAGCTGCTTCATGAAATGCTAATTGGATGTTCTTTAATACTAGGGGTATCTGATGTGCTTTTAATGGTTATAGGAATTCATTCTCTCAAGATAGACAAAAGAAGACATCAAATTTAAAAAAAAAGAAAACTAACCACCCATTCAGTTATGTCAAGTTTTCAGAAGAAAATAATATGTCAGAGGTTATTTAATAGATAAATATTGCTGCCTTGATTCCTTGCCTTAGCGTAGGAGTGGCTTGTAGATTATTTCCCAGATATTCTACCATAAGACAAATTATGACAAAGATGAGCACCTGAAGCATTGGAGGAATTCTGTAAAGGGGATTTGGCAGTCACAGCAAAATGGTTGCTGCTTTCTTACACTGAGAAATGAAAGCTTAAGAATTTCATAAATTCCATTTGCTGTAGTGGTTAGCTTTGATCTGTTGCATACCATAGAAATAAGTTTGTATTGATACTGTGTTGGAGTCCTGTCTGGTTTATCAGTTTCCACATTTTAAGCATGCAGTACAGTATATTCGGAAGAATTCTACAGTATAATGAAATAGAAATAATAAAAAAAATACTATTTATAGATCTGCGAGAAACGATGAATGGCTTGGAAGCAGACATTCAGAGTCAGCTGAAAAAGGCTGCCAATGATCTTGGCCTTGATGCTGGCAAGAGTATAAAGTTGGAATCTAATGCACAGCTGGGTTATTTCTTCAGAGTTACTCTCAAGGTATGTCACTATCTTCATAATGCCTTTTTTTTTTTTTTTTTTTTTTATCATGTCTTACTTGGGTGTTATATATTACTGGTTTTGGGATCAGTGCTCCAGTATCCCAGTCTCAGATTAGGCCTCCAAAATTTGAAAGGTAATATCACAGGAATAAGAGCAGATATACAGGAAAGATAAGTATATTAACCATAAGTAAATATTTGAAAGATTTACAGACCAGAAATTCTTCCTAAGTTTAAAAGGTTTAAGTAAGCCAATAAGTTTATTGAGGCATATGTACACATAAGTACAATTATCATACATAGTGTAAATTCCTTAGGATAACCCAAAAATGGCTAACAAAGTGACTTATTTCCATTGGAGTCCTTGTAATATCTTCTTATTTAAACCATAAAAGTTAAAACAGTTAGCTTATCTATGTGAAAATCAGTTACAATAAAAGGACACGTTTGGGAGGGTGTGTAAAGGAGGTTGAAAGTGAACATAGATATGAGTAAGATGATGAGGGTATCAAATGATTTAGATAAGGAAAAACTGGATATCAGATTGGAGGGAGGGTGTATGGAAGAAATGAATGTGTTCAGACATTTGGGGGTAGACTTGTCGGCAGGTGGGTTTATGAAGGATGAGGTAAACCGTGGAATTGATGAAGGAAAAAAGATGGGCGATGCATTTAGGTATCTGTGGAGACAGAGAGCATTATCAGTGTAAGCAAAGAAGAGAATGTATGAGAGTATAGTGGTGCCAACACTTACATGGGTGTGAAGCATGGGTTATAAATGCTGCAGCAAAGAGGAGGCAGTGGAGCTGTCATGTCTAACGTGAATGTGTGGTGTAAATATTATGCAGAGAATTCATAGTTTGGAAATTAGGAGGTGTGGAGTTAATAAAAGTAATATTCAGAATGCGGAGGAAGGGTTGTTGAGGTGGTTTAGTCATTTAGAGAGGATGGAACAAAAGAGGATGACTTGGAGGGTGTATAAATCTGTAGTGGAAGGTAGGAAGGAAGGGTAGGGGTCATCCTAGGAAAGGATGGAGGAAGGGGGTAAAAGAGGTTTTGTGTGTAAGGGGATTGGACATACAACAGGAATGTGTGAGCGTGTTAGGAATGAGTGGAGATGAACGGTTTTTGGGACTTGACAGACTGTTGGAGTGTGAGCAGGGTAATATTTTGTGAAGGGATTCAGGGAAACTGGTTAGCTGGACTCGAGTCCTGGAGGTGGGAAGGACGTGTACAGTGCCTACCCTTTAAAGGAGGGGTTAGGGATGTTTGCTGTTTGGAGTGACATCCAAATTGTCATATCTGCATGCCTCTGCAAAGACTGATAATATGTGAATGATGGTGAAAGCATTTTCTTTTTTGAATCACCCTGTATTGATGGGAGACAATTGGCATATTGAAAAAAAAAAATATATATACACTTACATACACAGGAGGGCCCTGCTTTACAGTGCTTTGCTTTATGGCATTTTGCTAATGCAGCAGTTTTCAGTTATACCCATTCTTCATTTATTCAGACTTAAATATATTCACTACTCACTATAAGCTAAGGATGAAAATATTTTAAGATAAGTAATGTGTGTACTGTATATGCATTTTTATTGCTCACTTAATAAATGATAGTGTGGTAAGACACATATGCAACAGTTAGGTATCTTTATTTCGAAACGTTTCGCCTACACAGTAGGCTTCTTCAGTCGAGTACAGAAAAGTTGATAGAAGCAGAAGAGACTTGAAGACGATGTAATCAGTCCATCACCCTTAAAGTTTTGAGGTGGTCAGTCCCTCAGTCTGGAGAAGAGCATTGTTCCAAAGTCTGAAACTTTTCTGTACTCGACTGAAGAAGCCTACTGTGTAGGCGAAACGTTTCGAAATAAAGATACCTAACTGTTGCATATGTGTCTTACCTAACAACCTGTCGGTATTTTATACCACTTTAATGTTCATATGATAGTGTAAACATGTTATCAGGCTTTTGTATGTATTTGAAAGTGGAAAAAGGCTGTTTCACTTTACAGTGATTTCTGCTTTACAGCAGTAGCCCAGAACCTAATCTGCTGTATAAGTGGGGCCTGCCTGTATATATACATAGATACGTATGTGTGCCTTTCATGAAGCTTGCAGGCATCACAGTTCAAATGACCTTCCACACTGCAACATCACCACCCCTCCTACAGAGAGTAGGCACTGCACATCCTGCCTCTAGAATTCGGGTTCATTAACTTTCAAAATAACATTTACAGGAAGAAAAAGTGTTGCGTAACAACAGAAACTACAGGATGATTGACACCAATAAGGCTGGAGTGCGGTTCAGAAATAGCGCACTTCAGAATCTCAACGACCAGCACATGGCTTCACGAGAGGAGTATAATGAACAGCAGAAAACTGTTGTGGATGAAATCATGAATATTGCAGGTGATATCACTTTTTATTTTGTACTTTTTTAAGAATTATTATAGTATATTTTTAAGGAGCTAAATAAATTTACATTAAGTTCTGTTATAAAGTACATGTATATTACTTTACAAGCTAGAAAGTTTATTATCATTTGGGAATTTAGATTAAATGTTTCACTGTGACTGAAAACACTTAGTAAGTTAATACTGTGATAATATAATTGCCCATATTTTTTTTGTGATGGATTTATAGTAAATACATTTGTGTGTGTTTACCAATTTGAGTTTGCGGGTGGTGTAATTGATGCAACACAAAAGTGCTTGGAATTTGTTTCTCTATGAAATTGCATATTAAATTACTGTACATTGGAACCCTGAGTTTCGTTTGCCCTGAGCATCGTATGCTTCGAGTTTAGAACCATTTTTTCAGCTAAATTTTGTCGCAAGTTTCACACTGTGCCCCGTGTTTCGTCCCACGTACCAGACCTGTCTGCCTGCCTGCGCCTGCGTGCCTCCCTGCGCAGCTGTCGTGAGTCAGTCTGGCTTTGTTTTTCCTTGAGTGAAAATTACATTATATACTAGGCATTTAAAGTGCCCTAGAGCGATAAAATGCATATACAGTACTTATTACTTGCCTTAAAATATTTGTAGCCTTAATGGTATTAATATAGGGTGCAAGGTGAATAGTAAGGTAGGTAGGTATGAAAATGTGGTAGGTATATAACCCTCCATCTGGCTACCCCACCCACACATTTTATACTAGGCTTTTAACCCTTAAATGGTCCAAACGTATATATACGTTTTTTCAACATTTGAAAGTATGCAAAAAAATGTACATCATCTTTTTTTTTTTTTACATTTGAAAATGTGTAAAAAAACTTTTATCTACATTGCTTTTTTGTTATATTTGAAAATATGTAAAAAAAGCATAGATTTACTTTTGGAGCACTACAGATTTGAACGTCGATCTATTTGGACCGTTTAAGGGTTAAAATGCCCTAGAGCGATGAAATGCATATACGTACAGTACACTCATTACTTACCTTAAAATATTTGTAGTCTTAATGTAGAGTGAGAGGTGAGTAAACAAGTAACAAAAAAAGGCACAATACCATGACTGGAACAATACACAAATAACCCACACATAGAAGAGAGGAGCTTACGACGACGTTTCAGTCCGACTTGGACCATTTACAAAGTCACAGAAACGAAAAAGAGGGAGGGAGGGGTATATATAGGCAGGAGGTGGTGGTAGTAGTAGTAGTAGTGGAGGTAGAAGGTAGTAGTAGTGGGGGAGGTAGAAAGGAGGAGGAGGAGCCAGTCAAATACAAAGAAAAAGGAGCACTGCAAGGGAGCTAGGTGCCCACAAAGGGTAAGAGCAAGAACACAGGGGAAAAAATAAATAAAGGAGGAACAAATACACAAGGCGGAAGAAAGACAACCCAAAGGAGAGAAAAGGAAAGAGGAAAGGGGAAGAGGGAGAAGAAAAGGGGGAATCAGGTTAAGTCACGGGTGTTCTGAAGTTTGGAGCATTTTACAATGTAGTGGGAAAGGAAGGCATCTACAGAGACGCAGCCAGGACTAAGTCTGTCAGAAAGAGTTCGGCCAGTTTCTCCAAAGTATTGAAGATGGCAGGAGGAATAAGAAATAGAGTAGACACCAGGAGCATCTGTAGAGGGAGGAGAGGTATGAACGAGATTAGTGCAAAGAGTGTTAGTTTGGCGGAAAGTAGGTTTGATGTCTAAGGAATGGAGAGAGTTGTTGAGATTAGAAAGACCAGAAATGTAGGGAAGGCAGAGGACAGAAGAGTTCCCAGGAGTAGAGAGTTTGGGAGAGAATAAATTATGTTTAGCACATGAGAAGGCACAATCTATGAAATGGGAAGGGTAGCCAAGACGGGAAAATGAATTACGGAGAGTGGAGGTTTCTGATTGAAGGAACTGAGGATCACAAATGCGGAGGGCACAGAGAAAGAGGGAGATAAGAACACTTTTCTTGACAGAGGAAGCATGATAAGAAAAGTGGTGAATGTACATGCCACTGTGCATAGGCTTGTGGTAAATGGAAATGGCAAAACCTGTATCTGAGCGGTGGACATTGACATCAAGGAAAGGAAGCAAGGAATTAGATTCCCATTCAGCTTTAAGCTTAATGGAAGGGGGCAAGATTATTAAGAGCACCAAGAAATGGTTGGAAGAGACTTGAGTCATGAGGCCACAGAGCAAAGATGTCATCTACATAGCAGAGCCAGAGTGAAGGGCGCACGTCGATAGTAGGAAGAAGAACAGTCTCTAAGTATTCCATGTAAAGATTAGCAAGGACAAGAGGAAGAGGAGAGCCCATAGCAACACTGAAGGTTTGAGTATAATATTTCCCTGGGAAGGAAAAGGAATTAGAGTCCACACAGAGGCAGATAAGATCAAGAAAGACATCAGTAGTTATAGGGAGATGAAGAAACTCTTCATTGGCCTTCTCTCTAAGAAAATCAAGGATATCATCAAGAAGGACATTGATGAAGAAGGACTCAACATCAAAACTAAGCATCTTACAGGTCAGGAGAGAGCGAACCTGTTCAGTGAAGTCTTGAGAGTGACAGAGGTGGGTAGGAGAAAAGGTACCAAGAAAGGGAGTGAGGATTTTGGCAAGCCAAGAAGCAAGAGAATAAGAGACAGAACCTCTAGAGGATATGATAGGACATAGAGGAATATCAGATTTATGAGTTTTGGGAAGACCATAAAAATAGGGCAGAGAGGGGCAGATGACACAAAAACGTTGAACAAGGTCAAAGTCAGGAGGACAGAGGTCAGAGAGAGTCCTTAGTTTCTTGTTGAAAGTTCTCTTGATGTGATCAAGAGGGTTGGAAACGAGAGGAATCTAGTACGCGAGTCAAAGAGCAAGACATCAGCTTTACGGAGGTAATCCTTGCAATCAAGGATAACTACCGAATTACCTTTGTCAGAAGATAGTATGATGATGTTAGTGTTGGATTTAAGAGAAGAAAGGGCAAGTTGGTAACAGCACAGAAGGTGGTAGTAAACAAGATGAGTACATGAGTGTAGAAGTTTTGTAAACAAACCAGTTGTTGTTAGCAGTCCAGACACTAATGGCTTATGTTCACTCCGTCAAGCCAACTGGAAAAACATCTCATATTTATTTATTATTGTGTTATTTATTTATTTCAACACACCGGCCGTATCCCACTGAGGCAGGGTGGCCCAAAAGGAAAAACGAAAGTTTCTCCTTTTATATTTAGTAATATATACAGGAGAAGAGGTTACTAGTCCCTTGCTCCCGGCATTTTAGTCGCCTCTTACAACACGCATGGCTTACGGAGGAAGAATTCTGTTCCACTTCCCCATGGAGATAAGAGGAAATAAACAAAATTAAGAACTAGAAAGAAAATAGAATAAAACCCAGAGGGGTGTGTATATATGTGCTTGTACATGTATGTGTAGTGTGACCTGAGTGTAAGTAGAAGTAGCAAGACATACCTGAAATCTTGCATGTTCATGAGACAGAAAAAAGGACACCAACAATCCTACCATCATGTAAAACAATTACAGGCTTTTGTTTTACACTCAATTGGCAGGACGGTAGTACCTCCCTGGGCGGTTGCTGTCTACCAACCTACTACCTATTATTGTGTTATTATTATCATTATTAATATGGCATCTTCAAGACTAATAACACACACTTAGTGATTTTAATGTGTTCCCACACGCCAGCACAGGCGCAAGTTGTGGAGTTTAAATCGGTTACATTCAGTGACAAAGTGTAGCATTAAGAGTGTAGCAATTAAATGATTAAGCGATAGAAAAAGGATGAAACAAAAACTCCTGATAGCATAAGCAGCTCTGCCTATCTTCTGCAAGGTATGTAAATGGTGTATGAACACCAGTTCATTTGTACATTATGGTTTTCGTATGAAAGAAGTGCCTCGAACTCCATTTTCTCTTATACTAACACGTCTGAAGGAGGAAAGAATGGGAAGACTTTTATAGCTGGAGCAAGAATGCCCACGAGTGCTGTCCTCCCCGCCACCACATACATAATGACATACATATTTTGCTCATTCTAGAGTGTATACCAGGTTTTTATGTCATTATATTGTTTATTATGTCATATTAGATGAGATGTGATAAATAAATAAGCCGTAGAGTTGATAATAGCGTCATATTGAAATACAGGTCTCCCTCAATATTCGCTAGGGTTAGGGGATCAAGAGCCTCGCGAATGTTGAAAAACCGTGAATGTTTGGTGCCCCAGTATATTGTAGGGAAATATATTACAATACTGCTTCCTTAACTTGTTGAACCATGAATAATCATAAAATACAAGAAAACGTCGTAAATTGTACTAAATATATACATGTTATGCTTTAATAACGTATGTTATTTAATAACATGTATGTTAATAACATGTATGTTATTAAATACCACAGACTCCACCACTTCCTCCACCACTGCGAGTCCCTACTACCCTCCCTCCGACACCCGCAACTGGCAGCCAGCCCTCCCATCACTCAGTGTGGTGAGTGTTTTGTTTGTTCATTATTTGCTATTAAACTACAGAATAAATAATGTAAATCCATTCATGACTCCATATTGGAATGGCTATTAGGAAAGGTATTAGACGGTGACATCATGTGTTTACTCTTGAACACAGCAAAGAATCGAACATTTCTGCTATTGCTAATAATAACAATAGTAATAATAATAATAATAAATACAATATAATTGAAGAAGGAAATTGTACAAAAATACGAGGGAGTGGTTGACACATCTTCAGTGTGACTTTGTTTATGCTGGAGTGAACATTAGTCTCCCTGCTCTTCCAAACATTTCACAATAATTCAGCAGTTGAGGCAGTGGTATTTAATAACATATATGTTATAAATAATAATAGTACATATTATTAATAACATGTATTATTATTAACATGTATGTTATTAAATACCATTGCCTCAATCACTGCCTCTACTACTCCAGTCACACTCAATCTACAAGCACCAAACACAATGAATTATTGTGAAATGTTTGGAAGAGCAGGGAGACTAATGTTCACTCCAGCATAAACAAAGTCACACTGACGATGTGTCAACCACTCCCTCGTATTTTTGTACAATTTCCTTCTTCAATTATATCATATTTATTATTATTATTATTATTATTATTATTATTATTATTATTATTATTATTATTATTATTATTATTATTATTATTGTTATTGTTATTATTAGCTGTAGCAGAAATGTTTAATTCTTTGCAGTGTTCAAGAGTAAACACATGATGTCACCGTCTAATACCTGTCCAAATAGCCATTCCAATATGCAGTCATGAATGGGTTTACATTATTTATACTGTAGTTTAATAGCAAATAATGAACAAACAAAACACTCACCACACTGAGTGGTGGGAGGGCTGGCTGCCAGTTGCAGGGGTCGGAGGGAGGGTAGTAGGGACTCGCAGGTGTCGGGAAACTTAAATATGATTTGGCGGCTGGGAATTTGGCGGCTGGGAATTTGGCGGTTGGGAATTTGGTGGCTGGGAATTTGGTGGTTGGGAATTCGCGAATGTGTGAAGCCCGTGAAAGTTGAAAACGTGAATGTTGAGGGAGACCTGTACTATTTTGTTATGCCTCCTGACAGCAGGAATGGATTAATTGGATTTACATTATTCTTATGGGAACTATTGCTTTGACTTTCGGATATTTCGACTTTAGTCCTAGTTCCTGGAACGGATTTTGTGACGTGCACACAAATTTGAGGTAGGCCTTACGTCACCTGGAGGAATGAAGAGCAAGAGGGGATTTGATCATGTCATGCAAAATATAAGGATTATTACATGCAGGTCAGCTATGATTTGAAATGCAGGACGAAGAGCAAAGACTTGGTACCCCCTTTCCCTCATACCTATATCAGAAGGTTTTTTTTTTTTTTTTTTTTTTCTCCAACAAGTCGGCCGTCTCCCACCGAGGCAGGGTGACCCAAAAAAAAAAGAAAGAAAATCCCCAAAAAGAAAATACTTTCATCATCATTCAACACTTTCACCACACTCACACATTATCACTGCTTTTGCAGAGGTGCTCAGAATACAACAGTTTAGAAGCATATACGTATAGAGATACACAACATATCCCTCCAAACCGCCAATATCCCAAACCCCTCCTTTAAAGTGCAGGCATTGTACTTCCCATTTCCAGGACTCAAGTCCGACTATATGAAAATAACCAGTAAAATATGAAAATAACCAGAAGGTATGTCATTATAAAAGTAGTGAGTGAAATGAGTTGGGCAATGATGCAGTGAAAAGGAATTCTATATAGGTGTTCAAAAATAGATAAAATGAGGCTCAATAATGTCAGTTGGCCAATAGTTGAGGCAGGACAAAGAGCTGAGCTTCTCTTTCCTTCTCAATCCCATCCCTGCAAATTCAGATAGATAACTGCACACAAACTTAATTACAAATTATTATTATTCAGCACGTCAGCCATCTCCCACCGAGGCAGGGTGCCCCAAAAAAGAAAGACACTTTCACCATCATTCACACATAATCACTGCCTTTGCAGAGGTGCCCAGATACAACAGTTCAGATGTCACTCCAAACATTTACAAATGTTCTTGTATTTATTTCAGCTGGTTATGTTGAGGTGATACAGTCCCTAGGTCATGTATTGGGTACTTTAGATTGTATTTATGCATTGGCCTCTGCTGCTGTTTCTGCCCCCATTCCTTATGTGCGGCCCAAGCTCCTGGCAAGGGGATCAGGTGTACTAAAGCTGCAGGGCACTCGTCATCCATGTTTGGAGTTACAAGATGATGTCTCGTTTATACCAAATGACTGCCATTTTGATAAAAGTTAGTATGTCTTTTAGGATTTATTCTAATTTTTTTTTTAGGTTTGTAAACTTTTTTTATATTTTTAAGAAATTGATCCATGGTTTTAGTGTCTTAGAATGTTTTGCAAAAGTAAAAAAAAAAATTGCCTAATATTTTAAATAAAAAATTAGTATTTATTAAATTATTTTTGCACTTTGCTTCATATTTCAAGCAAATCCAATTTAATTCTGTAATACATTTTGTAATGTATCTGAATTCTCAAATACTAAAATGTGTAGCAGTTTAGTATTGTACACAAACTTATCATATCATCTGCATTGTATAACTTTTATGCTGCAGATAATGGCATGTTCCACATAATCACTGGCCCCAACATGGGAGGCAAGAGTACTTTTCTGAGATCAGTTGGTGCAGCTGTGTTGATGGCTCAAGTTGGTTCCTTTGTGGCCTGCCAAGAGGCAGAGATGTCTGTTGTTGATAGCATTCTTGGTAAGTTTGATATGAATTCCATTGGTGTGCCTGTATTTTTATTCCATGCCTGTTGCATAAACTTTACATACAATTTCAGTTTGGAAAATTCTCTTTAACTTGGAGTTTTCTGAATAAAATGAGAATGCTTTCTGAATTTGCAGTTTGAATTAATCTGACTTTTTTTTTTATTTTCCAAATAAGAGCAAAGTTTAGATTTTATGAGTAATTTTAAAAACCTATAAATGTATGTTTTCTGAATATATGAGGTATCCAATTACTATTATTATAATATTTATGGGGAGCATTAAACCCATAGGGTTCATACAGTGCTTTTGGGAAATGAGAGACAATCAGGCTTGATTCAAGGAAAGGGAGGTCATGTCTGATTCCTTGGATAAAGAGCCCCTTATCATCATCAAGGAAACTCCCTTGTGGAGTGCTGTTACTAAGGAACTTAACTACGTACTTTCTATGAGGGCTCAAAGGAATTATAATTATCAGGCCCATTCTTCTTTCTTGATGACTTTTTTTTTTATCTGGCCTCAGTGTGGGCTGTTATGATCATTCATATACAGGGCAAGTTGAATTGCTTATCAAATATAGTTTTTTCTATTTTTCTATCAGTTTATTTATTTTTGTGCATGTGATAGTCTTGTATATGATTCTTATAGTCAAGACTAAGAAGTAATGATCTTGACTAAGCTTCTTTTCAGAAATAACACTTGTTGTGCATGTAGTGACAAAAATTCCTCTTCATTAATGTAATTTCACTATAAATATGTATAGCAAAAATAGCAGATATTTCCATTTAATCATACAAACATATTTAAATCAGTTTTCAGGCTTTTTTGCGTGTGTTCAGTCTTGCTTTTTCTCATCAGTGTTCAGTAATAATCAGCCTGCAAACTGATCATCGGGTTTCCCTGATAGCTCTTCTCCATGATGGTTCTGTCTTGATGAAATTGTTCACTATGGGGTTCTGTTTCACAGAAACTGTACGCGTGGAGCAAAACTTATGCTCGAATTTGAATTCGGCATCCGAAAATTAGTTGAAATGTTTTCAAACTTGAACTGAAACTGTTGTTGGCCAGTGTAATTTTTCACATGCATAAACATTTTGTATAAGTTCGTTTTATGCACATTAATTGGTGAACACCTGTAGATTCATCGTACTGGGAACTGAGTAGGAGCAATATATGTAGCATGTTTCCAATGTGCTGCTGTTGCAGTTGTTTATGTACCATGCCTGACAAAGATGTGCCTTTCTTTATGTATGCAGCTATGGGATGATGACACCTGCTGAGGGTTATATGACTTGTAAAAGGTTTTAGCAAGCTTTTAGCAACAATTGCCAAGAAATATTTGTTGGTGTAAAGTTCTACAGCTTCTCTGGCTGTTTGGTGATTTTTTTTTTCTTTTACATTTCATTGATTTCAAATATGTTGATATAAATGTGTAGGTCCACATCCCTTTATCTGAAATTCTGGAATTCGAAAAGTTCTGAAAAACAAAGTTTTTTCATGGAGTGTCAGTCATCTCTAAATAACTCCAATGCCGCCAGCCAGAGTGGCAGGCTTCAGTTGTCTCACAGCACTTGTAGTGTTCACATGTGCGTCTGCTGTTCACTGATATTTTGTTTTTGCTTTTTATTTTGTGACTGTGTTTAATTTCACTGTGAAAATGTCAAAAAGAGCTGCAGATACCCTTATGGGTAATAGTGTGAAAAAGAATAGGAAGCATCTGACGTTATCAATAATGCAGAAAGTAGAGTTACTGCAGAAGCTTGATTGTGGTGTGTCAGTGTGACATCTTGCTGAAGAATGTGGAGTTGGAACTACCACTGTTTATGATTTAAAGAAACAGAAAGACAAGTTACTGAAGTATTGTAGTGACAGTGATGACCAAAAACTAATGAAAAATAGGAAAACACTGCATAGGGCAAAAAAACGAAGATCTTGACTGTGTGCTAATGGAGTGGATTCGACAATGAAGCAAACATATGCCAATGACTGGTTTGTTGGTCATGAAACAAGCTAGAATATGCCATGAACTGACATTGAAGGCAAGTGTCAATATTTAGATGGTTGGCTGCAAAAATTTAAGCGTAATGGTGTAAAATGTCTGAACATCTGTGGTGAAAAAGCTTCTGCTGACCATAAAGCAGCTGAAAATTACATTGACGATTTTGCCAAGATAATATCTGACGAAAACCTTAGTCCTGAACAAATTTACAATGCTGATGAAATGGCTCTCTTCTGGTGCTATGTTCCTGGAAAAACATTAACAACGACTGATGAGAGAGCACCAACAGGTTTTAAGGATGCTAAGGACAGGTTAATTATTCTTGGGTGTACCAATGCTGCAGGCACACACAAGGTGAAGTTGACAGTGATTGGAAAAAGCAAACATCCAAGATGTCTGAAAGGTGTATGCAATTTAGCTGTGCATTATTATAAACCGTAGTAGTATTCGTAGTCTTTATTTATCCCACTTAGTGTGAGTATTCATATGTTTTTGCTGAAGTGTTAATATTTGATGAAGGGGTGTTGCCCTAGACCCCACTTTCATTCTGAAATTCAAAAAATTCTGAAATTCGAAACACTACTGGCCCCAAGGGTTTCGGATAAAGGGATGTGGACCTCTAGTAGACTTGTATTTAATCAGGTGCATTAATTTTTAAGTTTTTTTATTAGATGCCACAGTGCTGAAATGTTGATGTTGGTGTCTGAATGTTAGTAAAACAGCCTTAAAACAGTAATTATGTAAAAATAAAGGTTATTAATTCTTAAACACATCCTCTTTTAAGACTTTTCTTTTTCTTTTTAACCAAGATCACATGTTGGTATTTTGGGTCATGGTCAGTCAGTTATTAGTTAGTTTTTAACCATAGCTCGTGTGGGTGCTGGAGACTGCCAGCTGAAAGGAGTTTCAACATTCATGGCAGAAATGCTGGAAACGGCTTCCATTCTTCGGGTTAGTATGCTTTCGTGTTGCTCCATAATTTTTTTTTTTTTTTTTTTACTTCCTACTACTCGTGCCTTGAAATTGTTACATATGAAGTTGGTTGAGTTTCTTGGATATTCTTTGTGTTGAAATTTATTGTATTTTTGAAGGTAAAAAATATGTTAGTGCTCTACAATTAATCACAAAACTGAATGTTTAACACACTGTATAGTAAATTAAGGCACTCTTTTTGGTACAGTATTAATAATTTTTACTTTTCTGCTTTGATACATTACCTATATAAAGTCATTGTGGTTTCTTTGTCCATTTTAGTCGGCAAGCAATGAGTCGCTTATCATTATTGATGAACTGGGCCGTGGAACTTCAACTTATGATGGTTTTGGATTAGCTTGGGCAATATCAGAGTAAGTACACTTGGTGAACATTCTTTGACCATTATGTACAGTCCTTACTACATCCATCTGCTTTTAACAAAGATTTTATACTTCATTTATTTTCACATAAAATTTTTTTAGCTATATTTTTGTGATAAATTAATACGTACTCTGTTTAGATCTCTACACTACACCACTGAGTATCAAGACCTTGAATAGTAAAAGAAAACATTTTCCAATTGCCATGTCCTGTGCTGGAACTCCTTAAAATATTCTTATGGCCTTGGCTGGTGCTTTAGCTCCTTAATATGTTCTTATAGCTATAATTGGTGCTGCATCTTATTAACCCTTTGACTGTCGCAACCCCCAATCCTGAGGTGTCTCCTGGTGTCGCAAAATTTAAAAAAAAAAAATTATTTTTTCTTATGAAATGATAGAGAATCTTTTCCCGATTGTAATGACACCAAAAAAACGAAATTTGATGGGAAACTGACGGAATTATGCTCTCGTGAAGTTAGCGACCTCGGCGCTGTTTACAAATCGGCGATTTCGCCCGTTTTGAGCCCTATTTTCGGCTAATTCCATTGTTCCAGTCGCGCAAACTCATAGCTATTTCTTTAGAACTCCATTTTTTCTATTGATGGAGTACAAGAAACTGCCCATTTACCGATTTCAACTACCTAATAATGTGGTCAGAAATTTGCAATTTGGCCAATTTCATGAAAACTAAAAAATATGACAATTTCAAAATAAGGTCCAGAATGTACAATGCAGACATTCCTGGCTCTAAAATAACATTTTCTTTGTTCATCAGTCATGTCTCCAGCCCCCTCTGATATTACTCTTGCTTTCTATTTTGAATTTTTATTCAAACAAAAAATAGAAGACTTACTATTATGCAGACTACTGCAATACTGTAATAATTGTATAAATAACATCAACCCATTCATGACTGCATATTAGAATGGCTAGTTGGACATTTATTGAACAATGGCATCATTTGTTTACTTTTGAACATTGGCAAAAATCAAACATTTCCCCTACTTTGAGCTCCATTTCTAGGTTCTTTTTATAGTAAAATCAATCAAAATCACCTCTATTTCTATAATATGTTTTCCATTCTATCAAATGAGACCAAGAAAACGAGAATACAACCATAAATACTATACGAAAATAGACCACAAAGTCGGCATTTTAATTAAAAAAAACGGTCGGAGTTTTTTTTTTCTCATTATGCACTGCATGCTCCAGGATTTTTTTTATATGGTGCACACTGACCACACAGACCCATTCTCTCACATGTGGGCCTACCAGCTTTCTCCTGCTTGATTTGAAGCCGCTAGAATTTATGAGTATATATACGTCAAACACGGTACCTCGTAAGACGTATACATGTATATACGGCCGCGACAGTCAAAGGGTTAAAATGTTGCAGTAGCATTGTTTTGCAGCAGATCAACCATTGTTACCCTAACATTTTTCTAACCCATCTTTAAAGATTTCAAAAATATTATCACAAAGCAAGCTAAACCAGAAGCATTCCAAAGTATTTGTTTTAGTGATGGACTAGAGTATGTGGACTTTAATAAATACTTGCTTAATTGGTATTTTGACCTAGCCTTTAAACTTTGTAATAACTTTCAGGTATATAGCAAAAGAGATTGGATCATTCTGCTTGTTTGCAACACATTTTCATGAGCTGACAGCACTTGCTGATGAGGTGGACACAGTGAAGAACTTCCATGTCACAGCTACCACTGCTCATGGTGCTTTAACTCTTCTGTATCAGGTCAGTTAATCTCTCACAACAGTAATTGTAATCTCAATACTGCATCATCCACAATGTGTACGAAACTGTTTTAGTGGTACATTTCCCCCATACTGAAAAACCATTGGATGACTCGTATAGCATTGTACTTTGAAGTTTGAATGCAGACTTACCATTGTCTGGTTTTGTTTCAGGTGTGCTTTATAAGTTCAAAACAAATGAGAACATATGTATATTCATTCATGAATGAGTGTCTGAACATTGTTTAAATAGTTGTGAATATGACTGAGGGGGACTTGTTAGGCAATGGATAACTTCATATTTTTGCCTAACAATAATTGTGGCATCCTTGACAGTCATTTAGTGACAGTGCCAAGGATGCCACAAGGATGTAGTGACTGTGTCAGTACAGGTTCTCCATTCTCTTTTTCATTGCTAGGCAAATGCCTCCCTGTACCATAAGTCTGAAGTTAGATATTAATGTTTTAGCCTTTTAAAAAGATTATATATTTATTCATAGCTAGTACTGTACTTAGACAAGTAAGAAATACATTTTACCTGTTGTAAAATAATTCTGTACTCAGAACTTGAGAAAAAAATTAGAAAATTAAAGAAAATATTGCCCTAATAAGTGACAACCAAGAAAGTATAGTATGACAAGTTAACAGTAGAAACAGAAAAGGTTATTTGGCAAAAATAAAAAATAGCAAAGGATCCTTTCAGTACAATGTTTCACCCAAGGTTGGGCTTTATCAAGTACATAGGAATGAACAAATATACCACTTTATAAGGCAAACAAGAAGCATGAGGTCAGGCTTAGAGAAAAACGCATCACACATGGTAAATGTGAGAGTAGGTCACATGCAGCTACAAATTATGAGATTGTTTGGCGAGGTCAGGTATTGGTGGAAGCAAGGGGTGGGAGTAGTTGAGCCCATTATATTTATTATATGAATTGTGGACACTGGGCAATAGGTCCAGCCAACATGAACATTCTGCTGTTTTGGTGAGATGGATCACTGCTTCTAAAAGGATCCTCTGCCACCAGTGTCTTTATTCCCATTTGTTGGCTTTTGCCATTGCCTACTTAGGTCATTGTAAAAACAAAATTCCAATTTTGAGTCCATGAATGTGCTGCACTAGTAAAAAGGCTCAGAAGTATAACCCAAAAAAAAGAATATGTTTGAACCTTTATTATTCTTTCTTGGGCACTTGAGCAAGGTTAAGATGGTTTACTGATATAAATAATTAGGCATTACCAAAGGGATACCATGGAGTGGTTCCCCCCCCCCCTAGGCTTTTGTTTATTACCTAAGAATTCTTCATCTGATTGGCTTAAATTTTCCAGTGCTGTTGTACTGAATTAGATTAAGGTTCGTCCAGTTGGTAAATGGAGGACAATAAATGTAATTAGATAAGTGGCAAACTACAAAGGAACAATGCAATTGGTAATTTGCAAATTATCAGAAATGCATGGGATGAAGCATGGGAGGATGAGTGGTGGTTCTTGTGGTAGTGGCATGTGCAGGTGCCCTCTTCATTTTTATGTACATACAGTAAACGATTCCTATATTTGGTTCTTTGCAATAACTGATCATTAAACTTTCAACACTAGTGTATCCTACTCGGAAAAAAGCCGAGATTGTTGTTGGAGTATGTAGGTTCTAATTTGGCAATCTTATTAAAAGGGTACAATATTTTTCAATGGCTGATGCATCTTATGGACAGGATAGTACCCAGTAGGTAAATACAAATTTGCTACTTTCCTAACATAGTTAATAAACTTGGAATCATTGGATTCTGAACAATTATTGAAGAATGTCTCTTCTGCTTGGCCTGACTCTTTCAACAATGATGTACTGTGCTCAAAGGTTTGAACTGATTTTGGGTTGTGGAATTTAATTTGCCAACAAACTGGCTTTTCCTGCAATAACCAGAGAATGACTTCTGGTTTGCTTCAAATGCCTAAACACTAGTGTATTATAGAAAATTTTTAGATTGATCTTGGACTGCACGAATACCATTTTGCCAGTTTTATTGAAGAATTTGTGAGGATTAAAATATAGGTTTTTCATGCATTAATTTGTGAATACCTCGTGTGATTGGTTTTAAACCTTCAAAGGGAAGCCTGTCCTATTTTTAGGCTGCAGATTAGGAAGACTCAAACATTCATGTTCATCACTAATATAATTATATGTTTATTCTAATGTGTGAAGATTTTATGACTTATTGTATTCATACAAAGGTGCGTCCAGGGCCCTGTGACCGCAGCTTTGGTATCCACGTTGCAGAATTAGCCAATTTTCCTCCTAGTGTAATTGAGGTGAGTCAGGTTTTCTAATAATTTTAGCAAGGACTTTTGTGTGTATCATTAATGCAACTGAACATTAAAATGGTATAAAATACCGACAGGTTGTTAGGTAAGACACACATGCAACAGTTGGGTATCTTTATTTCGAAACGTTTCGCCTACACAGTAGGCTTCTTCAGTCGAGTACAGAAAAGTTGATAGTATCTTCTGTATCCTCTGCTTCTGTCAACTTTTCTGTACTTGACTGAAGAAGCCTACTGTGTAGGCGAAACGTTTCGAAATAAAGATACCTAACTGTTGCATATGTGTCTTACCTAACATTAATGCAACTATAAATGTATATTGTATTTGTAGTTCCTTAGCTATCTGTCAAGTTCTGTACGATCCATCCAACATGTTTGCAGTTTGAAAATAAAATAATGTATTAACAAAAATTCGGCTAGTTGCATATCTAGTTATAATGCTGTACTTATGTGGTATCTTTTCCCTCTTTCTACATCTGAACCCATTTTCTTTTTTTTTAAACTGACCATTTCTCACCAAGGAAAGGTGACCCAAGCAGGAAACATTCAACATCATTCATTCAGTAGCTGTCTTGTCAGAAGTATTCAGACATCATAATTTGAATGACCCTCAGAACGGTAACATTCCCACCCCTCTCCAGAGAGCAGGCACTGTGCATCCCACCTCCAAGAATCAAGAGTTCAGTTAACCAGTTTCCCTAAATCTCTCTTTAAACTTTACCTTGCTCATGCTGCAACACCATATCAAACACTTTTCTACATTCACTCCAATCTAACATACTTACATTCACCTGCAGGATGTGTAAACCCCACTACTTAAAAACCTTCATGGATTTCCTGGGATGGCCTCTACCCCCTACTTTCTCCCACCTAGATACACCTTGGTCATCATATTCTACTTCATCCCATCTAAATGTCCAGCTCTTATGAGGAGTAATTTCAATATGCAGATTTGGAAAAAGTCCCTCCAGCATTTTCTGTGCATCAATTATGATGACTCTTTCTTACATGTGCTCCACTGGGTACAATTTGATGCATTTTAGATGTTTGAGTTTAAACAGGCAGTGAAATTTCCCTGTACATTTTCCAGATCTGCAGTTGTGCCGGCCTTTAATGGAGCTGCAAGTGTACAGCAGTTGTCCAGTCTCAGCCCATAGGGTTTAGCACTTGTCTTGAAGATTCTTGTCATCCAGCTTATTGTTTTCCTTGTAGTTGATGGTGGGAAGTACAAAACCTGCACTTCTGAAGGATTTGTGGGAATGTTGCAGTATGGAGGGTTATTTGAATTGTGATATCTTAGAGCTTTGGAATGAATGGTGGTGAATATGTCCCCTACCATGGTAGGAAGTGGATATTATAGCAAGAGAATTTATAACTTTTACCTGACCATTTGGAGGAAAACTACCCAAGAAGGGCATAACTTTCTTCTTTTGCATGTAAGTGGACCCCCCGCATTACGAACGCATCGCTTTACATTAAATCCGCCATACGGAGCATTTGAATGCAAAAATTTTTGCCTCGCCTCGCAATAAAAAACTTGCCATATGTGATTCGTCTGGGACGCGTCCCACGTGTGGCCTCAGCTGCCCCATGGGTGCCAGTGTTTACAAGCCAGCCAGTGCGGTCGCATCTAAGCATACATTCGGTACATCTCATGTTATCACAGTGTTTTTAGTGCTTGTAACTGCAAAATAAGTCACCTGGGCCCCCAAGAAAGCTTCTAGTGCCAACCCTGTGGTAAAAAGGGTGAAAATTACTATGGAAATGAAAAAAGAAATAATTGTTAAGTACGAAAGTGGAGTGCGTGTCTCGGAGCTCGCCAGGTTGTATACCAAACCCCAATCAACCATCGCCACTATCTTGGCCAACAAAACAGCAATCAAGGAAGCTGTTCTTGCAAAAGGTGCAAGTTTGTTTCCGAAACAGAGATCGCAAGTGATAGATGTTGAGAGACTGTTATTGGTTTGGATAAACAAAAAACAGATAGCAGGAGATAGCATCTCTCAAGTGATCATATGTGAAAAGGCTAGGAAGTTGCATGACGATTTAATTAGAAAAATGCCTGCAACTAGTGGTGATGTGAGTGAATTTAAGGCCAGCAAAGGTTGGTTTTAGAGATTTAAGAATCATAGTGGCATACATAGTGTGATAAGGCATGGTGAGGCTGCCAGTTCAGACCAAAAAGCGGCTGAAAAATATGTGAAGGAATTCAAGGAGTACATAGACAGTGAAGAATTGAAACTTGAACAAGTGTTTAATTGCAACGAAACAGGCCTATTTTGGAAGAAAATGCCAAGCAGAACCTACATTACTCAGGAGGAAAAGGCACTCCCAGGACATAAGCCAATGAAAGACAGGCTTCTCTTTTGATGTGTGCTAATGCTAGTGGTGATTGCAAAGTGAAGCCTTTATTGGTGTATCATTCTGAAACTCCCAGAGCGTTCAAGCAAAACAATGCCCTCAAGGCTAATTTGTGTGTGCTGTGGAGGGCAAACAGTAAGGCATGGGTCACTAGGGACTTTTTCTATGACTGGTTATGCCATGCATTTGCCCCCACTGTGAAAAATTACATAATGGAAAAGAAATTGGACCTTAAGTGCCTCCTGGTATTAGACAATGCTCCTGGTCATCCTTCAGATTTGGCAGAGACTTTCTGGGGACATGAGCTTCATTAAGGTTGAGTTTTTGCCTCCTAATACCACTTCTTTCCTGCAGCCTGGTGGCTAAAGCTCCCACTTCACACACGGAGGGCCCGGGTTCGATTCCCGGCGGGTGGAAACATTTCGACACGTTTCCTTACACCTGTTGTCCTGTTCACCTAGCAGCAAATAGGTACCTGGGTGTTAGTCGACTGGTGTGGGTTGCATCCTGGGGAACAAGATTAAGGACCCCAATGGAAATAAGTTAGACAGTCCTCGATGACGCACTGACTTTCTTGGGTTATCCTGGGTGGTTAACCCTCCGGGGTTAAAAATCCGAACGAAATCTTATCTTAGCCCATGGACCAGCAGGTCATTTCAAACTTCAAAAAATTCTACACAAAAGCTATGTTTCAAAAGAGCTTTAAAGTGACCTCAGACACTCGATTGACTCTAAGAGAGTTTTGGAAAGATCACTTTAGTATCCTTAGTTGTGTAAACCTTATAGGTAAGGCTTGGGAGGGAGTGACTAAGAGGACCTTGAACTCTGCTTGGAAGAAACTGTGGCCACAATGTGTAGAAGAAAGGGATTTGAAGGGTTTGGGGTGTATGCCAGTTGTGGAATCCATTGTGGCATTGGGGAAGTCCTTGGGGTTGGAGGTTAGTGGGGAGGATGTGGAAGAGTTGGAGGAGGAGGACAGTGAAGAACTAACCACTGATGAGCTGCAAGATCATCTTCAACAGCAAGAAGCCAGACCTGAGGAAACTGCTTCAGAGGAGGGGAGAGAGAAATTGAGGAAGTTGCCTACTTCAAAGATTAAGGAAATGTGTGCAAAGTGTGTTGAACTGCATACCTTTACGGATGAAAATCACCCTGACACAGCTACTGCAAGCCGTGTTGGCAACCTGTACAATGACAATGTTACGCCCCATTTTAGGAAGGTCTTAAAGAAACGGGAGGTACAGAGCTTTATGGACAGATTTCTTGTGCGACAGAAGTCCAGTGACTCTCAAGCTGGTCCTAGTGGCATTAAAAGAAGGGAAGTAACCCTGGAAAAGGACTTGCTACCTCAAGTCCTAATGGAAGGGGATTCCCCTTCTAAACAATAACTTCTACACTCTCCCCTCCTCCTATCCCATCAATCATCACCAGATCTTCAATAAAGGTAAGTTTCATGTATTCTATTCTTAGTAGGGTAGTAATTGTGCATGTCTTCTTCAGTTTGTGTGTATTAAAATTAATATTTCATGTGGTAAAAAATTTTTTTTTTCCCATACTTTGGGGTGTCAGGAACAGATTAATTTGATTTCCATTATTTCTTATGGGGAAAATTAATTCGGCTTATGATGAGCTCTCAGGAACGGATTAATATCGTAAGGCGGGGGTCCACTGTACTTCAGAAAAAGTGAAGGTTGAAAAAGACACATTACATAGGTTTAATATAATTGAGCTAAAAGTGACCCATGCAAGTGCTTATATTTGCTAATAATGCCTCCCAAAAGTAACCAGGCTTGAGACTGAAGCTCTTGATTAGTTTGTGTCATAATACATTATTATTATACCTACTTCCTAATGACTTGCCAGGTTAATGGATGTGACCCACAATGGAAATATGATACAGCAAGTATCTTTCAGTTTGATAAGGTATTAAAATATAAGTAAAAGTGAATAGCATAGATGAATAACTAAAGTATAGTGAAAAAAAAAAAGCAGTTTATTGATAGAATAAGAGTTTGAAGTTATTAGGGAAATAAAAATTTCTTAAAGTAAAAATTTATCAAGAAAATTAAATTACTCCCTTTATAAAATTAAAACTTAGAATCAAGATATTCTTAGATTTGTCAAACAACTTGTACATAAATGTGTACATAATTAATAATGCCATTAAATTTTAAATAACCATTCATTTTTAATTTCATATTTTTTCTAGTGTTACCATGTGTGTAAACAGCAGCTGAAAAATTAATATTTCTAAATGCTTCATTGTTACAGTATGCCAAGAGGAAGGCTGGGGAATTGGAAGATGATTTTGGTGGTGGTGATGATTCAGAAGAAGCAGTTAAGAAAAGGAAGCTGGAGAAACAGGTAATAGTAAAAATGTTGCATTTTCTTATATTATGGTTGTCTGACAGTTCATTGATATATGCAGAAAAAAAAATTCAGTATATTTGGTAAAGCATATAAAATCTCTTGTGCTTGTTTTCAGGAGGGCGAGAAAATAATTGAAGAATTTCTTAACAAGGCAGCTATTCTTGACATCGATAACCAAACTGAAGATGATCTACTGAAGGAGATCAAGAAACTGCAACAAGAAGCTCAAGCTTGTAATAATGCATATGTTTCACACCTCTTATCCAGGCAGACTTGATTGTACGACAGTGAAGACTTGCCATTATAGAACCTTATCGGTTGTTATTTTATTAGTGCTGAGAAGAGGCTTACAACTGACATAGTTATGTGCAAATAGTATATAAATGTTATTATTTGGAACTTGGTTAGCTATATTTGTCTTAAAAGTTATACAAAAGAGTAGGCATGAAATCAATATTAACCCGTAAACGGTCCAAACGTATATATACGTTTTTTCAACATTTGAAAGTATGTAAAAAAATAGATCTTTTTGTTTTTTTACATTTGAAAATATGTAAAAAAAAAAAAACGTAGATCTACTTTTGTAGCACTACACGTGTGAACGTAGATCTGCTTGGACTGTTTACGGGTTAAATTTTTGAATTGTTAAAAGTTAAATTATTGCTTGCAGCTACTGTTTTTTTTTTTTCATCAGTCACAGAAACATATTCTACCTTTTTTTTTTTTTTTTTTTTTAAGTGGGTCTCTTCTGAAGTATCAAGATTTGTTTAGAAATGTTTTTCTTTAAGTCAGCCTTGTATAGTATATCATTAAATTAATGTTATTCAGTACGTATAGCCAAATTGATGAAAAAGACAACTTCAACACTGCATGTCTTTATTGTTGAAAGATTTTGTCTGCATGGCAGGCTTCTTCAGTCAAACAACTTTTATACTGGAAACAGAAGTCTTGATTGAAGGTGTTTAGACCTAATAGAAGCACAATGCAAGTCATGCATCATTTCCAGAGGTGAGGTACAGCAGTTGTAGAGAGCATCACAGTTGTTCAGGGCTTACTATTGGAAGTAGGTCATGCCAATAAGTTGGATCAGCACTTGACAGTAGAGTTGTAGAAGGCATCTTCTGTTCCAAGACTCTATGGCATTGTTGGAGCAGACAAGCATCATTACATTAATGAAAAACAACTTTGACAAAATAATGAATAAAATGCATGCACAACACTTAGGTATCTCCATTCTTGGAAAATTTATGCTTGCGTGGTAGGCTCCATTAATTGAAGACAAGTGAATTTTACATGGAGAAAGTGGAAGAAACGGATAGGCAATTTTCGTCTTCATTCCCAATCTTCATGGGTACTCAGTCCCTGAGCCATGATTGAAAACAAATAACTCTTAGTCTATAGGACTGAACACTTTAAAATTGCCTCGCTGCTTCTACTGTCTCCAGTGCAGAAGTTGCTGCTTGTGTTTGACTGAAGGAGTCTGCCATTCAAACAAAATGTGTCATCAAATGCAAATACATAAGTGTCATACGTGTGCCTTGTTTATCAGTTTGTCAGTGTTCCATACCATTAATACAGTGATGCTCGTCTTACACAGTAACACTATGGATTCTTGGTAAGATGTGTGCCTTCTCCAACCCTACTGATAATCAGCTTATCAGGAAGACCAACTTCTGCCTACCTGTGATGCAGTTTCCAACGGCTACATAACATGCCTTGTTTTCTGGTGTGAGTCCATCTTCATGCCTGTGATGAATGGTCACCGATATTAGTAGACATTCTTTATTCGTTCGCCGCCCCTGTTTGCTCCGTCCCTTTTCTCTTCGCCTACATTCACTCTTGTCTTCACTTCAGTTACCACCTTTATATGTTCATGTAGCATCTCACTTTTCCCTACCCCCCTGGGAAGTTCCAGCTGTTCGGGTCTGTTCTTTCTCACTCCCTTGCTCGAAAGCTCAACTGCCTACGGTGGCTTCCCGCTCTCTTTTTCTTGATCACTTCCACTCCCATTCTCATGCCACCGCTGTGTACACAGATGGCTCTAAGTCTTCAGACAGCGTCGGATTCGCAGCAATGTTTCCGGACAGCGTCGTGCGGGGGCATTTACTATCTTCAGCTAGCATTTTTACTGCTGAACTGTATGCCATTCTTGCAGCACTTATTCGTATCGCATCTATGCCTGTGTCATCATTTGTAGTAGTCTCAGACTCCCTTAGTGCTCTACAGGCTATACGAAAATTTGATACATCTCGTCCCCTAGTTCTCTGTATCCAACTTTGGCTACGCCGTATCTCTACCAAACATAAAGATATTGTTTTTTGTTGGGTCCCTGGTCATGTCGACGTACAGGGCAATGAACAGGCAGACACTGCTGCGCGGTCAGCAGTACATGACCTACCAATTTCCTATCGAGGTGTTCCATTTCTGGACTATTTTGCTGCAATAGCTACCCACCTTCGCACCCGTTGGCAACAACGTTGGTCAACTCTGCTCAGTAACAAACTTCATTCTATTAAACCGAGCATAGGTTACTGGCCGTCTTCTTGTCATCAGTGCCGAGGTTGGGAGACCACTCTCTCCCGCCTTCGCATTGGCCACAATCGTCTTACTCATGGGTATCTCATGGAGAGGCACCCTGTTCCTCTCTGTGAGCAGTGTCAAGTTCCAGTATCGATTAGCCACATTCTGTTAGACTGCCCTCTCTATCAACGAGCACGCAGAATTTACCTCCAATGTCGTCCTCGTTCTACTACTCTCTCTTTACCTTCCCTTCTTGCTGAAGGACCCTCCTTTAATCCTGACTCTCTCATTGACTTCTTGACAACGACTGATTTACTCCACAAACTCTGATGATACTTTTCGCACTCCCCTCAGCCCTTTCTAGTTCAGTCTCTTGCTGCCCTTTACCCTTTCACCATCCACTACCCCGCTGTTACCTATTACTCATCCATCTCCCTTTTGCCACCTGATGCCCTCGCTTCCTTCCTGCCCTGCAGCGCTGTATAGTCCTTGTGGCTTATTATTATTATTACAATCAAGGGGGAAGCGCTAAACCCGGAGGATTATACAGCGCCTGGGGGGGGGGGGGGATGTGGAAGGCATTCAGGCTTAATTTGGGGAACTGGAGCACAGATCCAATTCCCTAAATCAAGAGCCCCTCACCAACATCAAGGAACCTTCCTTGAGGGGCTTCCTTGTGGCTTAGCGCTTCTTTTTGATTATAATAATAATAATCCTTCCTGCCCTGCAGCGCTGTATAGTCCTTGTGGCTTAGCGCTTCTTTTTGATTATAATAATAATCATGCCTGTGATTTAGGATAATAGACTGAACACCTGTTAAAGCTAAGGGAATGAACACCTTAAAATTACCTGTCTACTTCCACTGTCTCCAGTACATGTCATTTCTGAATTTTACTGAGCCCTGCCCATGGGCAAAATATTTTGGCATTAAAAGTACCCAAGTGTTGCACATATACATTACAATGTGGTATGATAAAGCAGTTTGGCTTAGTGTTATTCATGGAAAGTCCTAAATCAATTCATTAGAATTGTATTATAATAGTACTGATTGGTCCCTGTCAGTCAATTGCTTTTTTAAGGTACTGTAATGATAGTTCAACAAAAATGTATAGCAAAAGGAAACCTTTGTTAGTATGGATTTTTCCCTACATATGGCTTTAAGCTCAGATCACAACAGTGCCAAGAAGTTGTAGTCAGGTGCTGTGCAAGGTTGAAGTTGAAGTCACATCTGGTGTAGGTGAGGTGTGGCAATGTTGGATGTGGCCTGAATATTGTTGTTGGTTCCTGGTTATTTGCATTTTTCATGTCTGGGAATAATTTAGTGATGGAATTTTATAAAATACATTTGCCTCTCTTCCATGTGATGGGTCTAGAGACAGGTATAGTTGCTAATTCAAGACATAATAACCCCTCTTGGTTTTTTTATATAAGGTGGGCTTGCCTGAAGTTCATGTATGTGCATGCATGTTTGTACCAGGCATGCATTCCATGTATTGTCCTCCACAACAAAAACAGATGTGCCAGTAGGGTGGATATGACACAGATGTACAGTACACAGAGATGCATGTCTCACAAGCTTCAAGAAAAACCACCTCTTACACCAGGAAAGTAACAGAGAGGGGTAGATGAATTAGCATCTATACTTATCTTTAAAATCATCACATGGAAGCAAATGCATACATAAAACTATCATTAAACATGAAAAACAAGTTACCAGGAACTGACTTTGTGATTCAAGCAACATACATGCATAGGCAAAATGTCATACTAACAAGTCTCTACTCCCCTTCCCTCCCTCCCCCCCACTTGTTGGCCTGGTCACAGACAGGGCCGTGGGGGCGTTGACCCCCGGAACTCTCTCCAGGTATACCATAATTCAGCTAGGAAAATGTATATTTCTCATAATACATGTATATTGTTGTAAAGTAATATTCAAAAGAATTTTCTATAAAAAAAAAAATTAACTGTATTCATCCCTCAAAAAGTGAAGGTTCTGAGTCTTGAGGCTTACTAAACCCAGAAGGGTCACACAATACCTAGAGTATGGGAGGCAATCAGATTTGCTGCAAGGGCATTAACAAGTCCAATTCCTAGGAGCAAGAGCCCCTCACCAGCATCAAGGAATCTCCCTCGAGTGGGGGGTGAACATAATAGTGAAGGAAAATCTACTTCCACATACTGTACAAGAATTGTAAGTACAGTACAAAATGGTATTACACAGTTAAAAAGCATTTATTTTAAATATAGTACAAAAATCTTTGGTATCATTTTGTATATCGAAAGGCCAGTGATCAAGGGTTGTATAAAATGGATTTTTTTTTAACATTTGATACAAAATATAATCTGATATAGAGAAATATAATTTACTTAAAAGCAAAGTTCATAGAAATGGCTTTGATGTATGAGGAACTTCTGGTTGACCAACTAATATCACTCCATCAGTAGAGGTCAAAGCTATGCTAGGGTCTGCTGGAGCAGTGATGGGTAACAGATAACCAAGCTGCAATGCTGGTGCAGTTCCACCAATGGCCATACAACCAGGACCTAAATAAAGAATTCAATTATATATAGTATATATTTGTGCCTAACAAGCTTTAGCGATAAAGAGTATGCATTTGCAACTCAAATCTTTATTTTAACATTTCACCTCACATTGAACTTTATCAATACAACTCAACAGAGTGAAATATCAAAATGAAGATGTGTGATGCAAATTTATTCGGTAAAAAACTGAAGTTAACATTTACGAAGTGAAAGTAATATTGGAAAAGATAGTCTTTGAAATATAAAATAGGCCCAAGTCTAACAAAATGATTATATGGACTGCAGTGTGGTATTCAACTTCTGAATTCACTCAAGATCTAGGAATATAACCACTGCAAATTTTCAGGAGTCCTGCATGGTGATTTCATAAGTTACAGAACTCACTTTGAAGTGCTGGTGCAGCAAGTGTAGTTGTAAAAGATGTATGAGATGCCACCAGTTCTCTCCCTCCAGCACTATTCATTTCACATGCAATAACTGGTGTAGTACTGCCGAGCAACACAGATCCACCATTGCTACTCTGTGTCATGTTACGGTTGTCATAGCTGTGTTCAGACCATACCTGAAATGTTCAAATTATCATATTCATGTGGGAGCATTAAACCTGTAAAAATCATACATCATCAAAGGAATTGGAGGCAATCAGATTCAATCCAAGGAAAGGGAGGATAGCTCCAATACTCTGGATTAAGAGCCTTTCACCAGCATCAAGGCATCTCCCTGAATGTGAATTTTCACAATTTTGTTGGAAGCAGATTTAATAATAATAATCATAGGGTTAAGAATATAATATAATATGGTTTTGCCTTGCCTGTGACTTAGATATCTCTGGTGCCACTTTAACCTTGATATCATCTAAGCAGTTAACTTGTTGCGAGGCTCGGTGGCAGGTAATCTCTTGTGTAGGTTTGAGGGGATCAGTAGATTCGACTACAGTCACCAATTTCACTTTTTTGGCTTTACCTGTAATAGTATTTGAAAAAATTTAACTGAAATATACATGGCTTTTAATAACTGGAAAAACTACTATCTTGCTTAAATAATCAAACTCAGTAAGAGCAGGACTCTGTTTAGATTTTTAGATTTTGCCACCGAAGTGGCTAGTTTATTGTGCACCCCATATCCATCCTGTGGACGGTAGCGCGAGAGCATGTGGATACACAAAAGGCCTAGGAACTAGGCCCCAAAGGGTTAACAGGAATACATATGGATTTATATCTACATATCTATAGTTCACTTATCTGTTACAAGCAAATTTAGGAAATTTGCTTAGTATATCTGGTATCTTATTTTCATTAATAAGATATCTTGACATGTCACATAGGTTATTATACTGTCGTCTCTGAAATTCCTCAATAAGTGGACAATTAAGCACATAGTGTTCAAGAGAGTGACCATATCCCTTTGATCACATAATTTACATTTAGTTTGATCATCATCTGTGTGTCTCCCAAACTGCCAGAAGTACTTGTAACCAAGCCTAAGCCTGGCCACTACAACATCAGTCAGTCTGTTCACATTGCAAGTTGCTCCATAAACATACTTATCTACGTTCATGTTATCATAGTGGGTTATAGATCTACTCAGGCTTCTAACTGCATTCCTATAACAATCATCTTCATTATTTACTTCTCTCATAATATTATTCCTAATGCTAGACACAGTTATACCAAAGTTATATTCTACGTTCTCCTTCTGGATACTCTTCTTGGCTAACATATCAACTTTATCATGACTCTGTTGAAAGTCAAAATCAGCAGGAATTTTCAAAAGTATATCTAACTGCAGCAGCGCTGTATAGCCCTTGTGGGTTAGCGCTTCTTTTTTATTATAATAATATCTAACTGCAAACAGATTTCACACTTTGGGAACATTAGTATAAACAGTTCTAATGTTAATTTTATAATTTCATGAATTAGTGAATGCTATTTTTTGAAGTTCAAGAACCACATTGTGAGAGAAAAGTTCAATAGATAGGAGTAGCGATATAGTAACAATAGTTTCATTGCCGGCTACTAGTTAAGGTAGGGTAAGTCAAGCTCCCGTTTTTCCCGCCTTTTTTCCCCCTCCCTGAAAGTGATAGTTTGACTGCCGGCTGCTTGTTAAGGTAGGGTCAGTCTAGCTCCCGCTATCCCTTCCCCCTCCCCCCCCCCCGAAAGGTGACGTGTGGGGCTCTGGTCAAACAGTAAATCACTCGACTCACAGCTCCCAACACTACTGTAAGTACATGCCTGCCTTGTATTCTATTTGGATTTATTGGTTAAAACTTCATTTTTGACCAATAATAAACTTAGTCCTTTCAGTCTTGCTCTAGGTTGACTGTTGTAATAATCACCACGTCTTTTGAGTATTGTACTTGCCATGGAGAGTGATTATTTAAGCTGTGGGTAACCTGTCTTCTTTTCAGCTTGGATGATAGGGGAGGGTCACCTGTCAATCAACGAGAAAACAGGAGACGGACAAACGTCCTGGAGACGTCCCATTTTGGATTTAATTACCTGTCCACCTGTATGAAATTGCAGGACGAACCCCCACATCATTGCAGCGGTAAAGAACCTGCTTCCTGTCATCGGGAAAACTACTCACGGCGATACTCTGCGAAAACTAGCCAGTGGTGGTCACCAACACCTGCGACCCCCCCCCCCCCACATCAGCAACGGCTACGATTTCAACAACAGTGTCACCAACACCAGACACCCCTATATATATTAGCATTGAATTCAGTTATCATTTATGTTTTTTATTTTTCATTTTCTTTAATGTAGGATTAATATTTCATATTTAAGTGTTTTATATTTTATATTTTCTATATAATAAAGTGTTTATGTTTGTTATTATTTCTTTTTCTATTCACTAATTTTCCTGAGGAGCCAGCCTTGGTAATACTGTCTGAAGTTGTTACAGGGCTGAGTAAGCCTTCACAAGTGGCAACCTTGCCAGGATCAACTCTACTGAATCAAGATTCAACTCCATCTCGAATCTACCATTGGAACTTCAACGCCACATACCACAGACGGTTACCACCAGCCATGAGTAATCATTCTCTATGGTAGGACTACGGTATAGGTATTTAAAAGATTTGGTGATTGTTATAGTCTCAATTTATTGTAAGTCAATTCAGGCAGGATATAATAGTTAATTCTGCCACCATTCTTGTGAGCTTGAAACATCTTGGAGGATTAGACTCTAGGGACCCGAGATTTTCCAGTGAAAAACTTGTTTCATTGAGCTCTTTATTAAAATCAAGGGAACTGTCATAGGACACCTTGATTTGTTGGTGAGAAGTTTTGGATGGTCAAGTGACCCCATTCTACTTACTGTTTGCTCGGAGCTGGCATAGAACCCTTTTTTTTAAATTTAAATTTACATATGGTTTAATTGAAGCAGGGATCGAGCCCTCTGGTTTATTTACAGTTTGAGGGGAGCAGGAATTGAACCCTCCATTTTTTTTAAATTTACCCGTTTCATTTCCCCTGATAGTTTAAAGTTATTTTGCAAGTATGGATGAATACCATTTTTGGGGATGAATACGGAAGTAAGCCCGGGAATAACCAGGGAAAAATTTAGAATCTTTCATTAGTGCTAAGATCCGGGAAAAAGACTTGAAAGAGAGAGAATTGAGAGAGAAGAAAGACAGTTAGAAAGGGAAAGAGAAGAGAAAAAGGAGGGGAGAGAATTGAAAGAGAAGAGAAAAAGAGAGAGAAGAAATCGAAAGAGAAGAAAAAAAAGGAGCGTGATAGACTTGATCGTGAGGAGAGAGCAAGAGTACGTGGGGAACAAGCAAAGATACGTGAGGAACAGGTTAAATTAAGGGAACTTGAGGAAAGAGCAAAGGACAGAGAATATGAGTTAAGGGAGAGAGAAAGGATCGCGACTCGAACAAACTCGCCTTGAATTAGAGAATAAGAAGTTAACTTTCCTCACAACACAATTAGATGAAGGAGTAATGGAACAACTTGCAGCTAGTGCACATATTCCAACACCTAATTTACCTCCTTCACAGAGGGGGAAGACATAATTTCTTACATTATCAGGTTTGAAAAACACCGCTACCCCTGTGAATGGCCTGCTGACACCTGGGCACCAGGTTAGGAATGTTATTTTCTGGTACCACTTTGAATATCTATGCAACTTTGTCGCAGGATATTATATGTAATTATAACCTACTGAAGAAGGCAATCCTTAAAGCAAAATCAAAAAACCACAAATTCTTACGGAAAGATTTCAGGTATGCCACCTTTACAGCCTGGCCAGAATTTTCCCAGCAGCTACAGGTAACACTCTTTCTTTTTGTTCGACTTTTGGATAGAGAGTTCAGGAATTGATCACAGTTAGAATCTCTTAGAGACTTCTGGTTGCTGACCAGTTCCTGACAGCTCTTCCCCACCAGATACGAAATTCATCAGAGAACGTAACCTGATTAAAGCTGAGGAAGTTGCTGAGGCTGTGACCTGTATACCTTATGCTGAGGCTCACAATTCCTATAAAGACCTAAAGGGATCGAACCCTAAGGGCAAGGGTTCATCAACCTTAAGAAATCAAAGCCTCTAGGGAAAGTAAAATGACTTTTTTTTATTCCTGTTTGTCATTTGTGTGGTGTTTAAGGGACATAAACTCCAATTGTCCTAAAAGGTCCAAAAAGTTGGAAAGATGTTTTAAAGACTGTAATGACCAAGCACCCTTCTGTTCAGGAACAGTTAATGGACTTAATGAAATCTACCATTTTACGAGACACTGGATGCACATGTATAGTAATTTTCGATAAGCTGTTCCCTAATCTTAAAGAAACTAAATTCCTCTGCTATACTTTCAGACTATTTGGGGCCCGTACAGACTCTTTTCCTACCATCCGTTGTTACATTAGGTCTAAATGGTTCACAGTTTTGGGTCTGAAGCCGTACTAGCTCCCATCACTTCTTGCTCCGTACAAAATAGGTAATTAAAAGGTGCCATTCTTCCTTCTGAGGTTGACCTTTCATCACCAAAGACGGATATAAGTGTTTCAGATCCTCTTCCTGTAGAGTCGGAGAAGGCCCCTCGAAGTTCAATGAACAATGTCTCGTGAGATTCATGTGGGATTAAAAACCAGTGATGCTACTCTCGAAAGCGAGGTAGTAGGATCACCGGTTCACTTTTTTAATGAAAGTGAAGATATCACCTCTGATACCATAAATGTCTTGACTAGGGATCAAAACCAAAGCCCAGGCTTCTCCTACTGTCCATCCTTTGATTTTCCCTGACTTTAAGCGTTTAGATATATCGAAGGACTCCTCTGTCAATTTACAACGTAATTGCCCTTTTCTGTTTCAGAATTGACATAATGCCGCAAAACAAAATAAAGTGATCCAAAGAAAAATTTTCATATAAATTTTTAAATATATAAAAGGTATCTTGTACAAGTCAGTATCAAATTAAATTCAGATGAGATAACAAATTCCATCTTAGTTGTTCCAAGTCAATGCAGAGAGACTGTTCTTAAAATGGCTCATGACCTGCCAGTGGGCCGGACATTTCTCGCATCGTAAAACCTTAACTAAAATTGGGGAAACCTATTTTTGGCCAAAAATTTTCCTCAGATGTCACTACCTATTGTAATCGGTAAAGTTTGCCAACTGTCATCTCCCCGAGGTACCAGGCGAGTACCTATGGTCAAAATACCAGCCCTTTACGGTACCTTTTGAAAGAGTAGCTATTGACATCGTTGGTCCTTTTCCACTTTCATCTGGGGGACATAGATATACATTAACATTAATTGATTATGCTTCGAGTTTCCCTGAAGCCGTCCCTTAAGACCATAACTACTACAAAGGTGGCTGAACCCCTTTTGTCCATTTTCTCCAGAGTGGGCATCCCTAGAGAAATTTTGTCTGACTGGGGGGGCACAATTCCCCATCTGACTTAATGCAACATCTATACCAACTTCTGGGGGTGAAGCCTCTCTTACCCCCACACCCTATCATCCCAGCTGTAATGGGAGAATTGAGCGCCAGCATTCGATTCTCAAGTCCATTTTAAGAAAACTTTGCTCCCTTAAAAACCTAAGGAGTGGCATCGTTACCTACCCTGTGCTTTGTTTTTCCATGAGGGGAAATTCCCAGTGACTCTTTGGGGTTTTCCCCCTTTTGAACTTCTCTATGGTAGACCAGCCAGAGGCCACTGTCCATCCTTCATGACTTTTGGACTAATGAGGAGGTAAATGCTGAGGTTCAGTCTTCTTACCAGTTTCTCCTTGACCTTAGATCCAAACTTGAGGAGACCTCTGACATAGTTTTGAAAAACTTAAGTTTGTCAATGGACCAGTAAAAACCTATTTTGACTCCAAAAGTCAGAGGAGAGGTTTTTAACGTAGGGGATGAAGTTCTTGTACTTTTGCCGATTAAGTCAAATAAATTATTGGTAGCATGGGAAAAGGGCCGTAAAGGTATTAAAAATTTGTGGGAAAATTGACTACCTCATAGAAGTCAAGGGGAAACCTAAAACTTTATCATATCAACATCCCTTAAGAAATATTACCGAAGAAATTCGGTTAACTGCCTTAATAACTTTGACTAGTTTTTCCACACAAACTTGATAAAGACAACTGAAGAAAGTAAGGTGTGCGTAATTGACACCTCTAACTTAGACTATGATGAAGAACTACATGACTTGGGACTTTGACCACTCGGACGCAACCAACATTAATATTAATGAATATTTGGATGACCATAAGAGACATGAACTACTTCAATGTGTGAGTAAATTTTCTGACGTCTTTACGATATTCCAGGTGTTACCTCCACGGTAGTCCATAAGATTGACTTATTGACGGACAATCTATCAAACGGAAATTATACCCAGTTCCAGTTCACCTTAGGGATTTCATTTGACCGAGAGGTAGACAAATTATTAAAACTAAAGATATTGAACCTTCAGTATCTGCATATTGCTCATCATAGTCATGGGTTTAAAAAGGAGGATAATTCATATAGACTTTTCTATTGACTTCAGAGGCCTTAATGCTATAACCGTTGGGATGGGTGAGCCTATGCCCTTAATAGATAGCGATCTACGCAAATTTTATGACTCTTCCTTCTTTTCAGAGATTGATATTGGCCCGGGCATATCATCAGTAATGTTAGATCCTTCTTCTAAGCAGTACAAACCGCTTTTTTCCACACACCAAGGACTGATTCAGTTTAGAACTATGCCCTTCGGTTTGGTAACTGCCTGTGCTACCTACATGAGACTGATGAGAAAGGTCTTGGGTAATATGCCAAATGTTTCAGTTTATTTGATAATATTTATGTAATGACATCTACGTGGGGGGAACATACCAAACATTAACATCAGTTTTGCGTAGGTTACGCTCACATGGCCTCACTGCCAAGCACGAAGAAATGCTTCCTTGGGTATAACAAGATTAGATATCTTGGACTGATACTTTCTAATAACTCTCTGCAGCCTCTCCCCATAAGATCAAAGCTTTATTAGAATTTAAATTCCCCAAAACCAAGAAGCTCATGCGAAGCTTTCTTGGTTCTGTAAATTTTTATGCACGGTTTAAACCCGAACCTTACTGATCTACAGGCATCTTATCCGACTTCCTTAAAAAGTCTTGAAGGAACCTCTGAACTTTCCGAGTAGCTCGGGGAAAAATTTAATGAGATTAAAAGTAAACTTTTTCGAAAGAAACCCTAACTTAAGATTCCAGATATTAATAAAACATTTTGTTGAGAAAATGATGCCTCCAATACTGGCTTAGGTGCGGTTTTACTACAATACCATGATGGGATTTCCCTTCCCTGTATGCTTCCTAAGCCGGGAAAATCCTTCCCGCCCGAAACAAGATACTCCACAATAGAAAAGGAATGTTTAGCCCTTGTGTGGGGTATCTCCAAACTTAAATTTTATTTGCTGGGAAAAGAATTCATTTTAGAAACGGACCACAAACCTTTGATATACCTAGAACTTTTAAGGGGAAACCCAAAAGTCGCCTCTTGAGGTGGACCCTTGGCACTCCAGGCTTTTAAGTTCCATATTGTGTATATCAATGGTTCATCCAATTATTTCTCTGACTGGGTTTAAATTGTGACAGTCAGTAGAAGATTTGTTGCCTTAAATTTACTTCCACATGTTAGAACTTTTTCCTCACCAAATTTTTCTTATACTCCTTGACTATAAGTCTTGGTATGGGGGAGTGTGAGGGAAAAGTTCAATAGATAGGAGTAGCGATATAGTAAAAATATTTCATTGCCGGCTACTAGTTAAGGTAGGGTAAGTCCCAAACTCCGCCTTTCTTCCCCCTCCCCGAAAGTGATAGTTTCATTGCCGGCTACTAGTTAAGGTAGGGTAAGTCAAGCTCCCGTTTTTCCCCCCTTTTTTCCCCCTCCCCGAAAGTGATAGTTTGACTGCCGTGCTGCTTGTTTAAAGGGAGGGTCAGTCTAGCTCCAGCTATCCCTTCCCCCCCCCCCCCCCCCGAAAGGTGACGTGTGGGGCTTTTGGTCAAACAGTAAATCACTCGACCACAGCTCCCAACACTACTGTAAGTACATGGGCCCGCCTTGTATTCTAGTGGATTTATTGGTTAAAAGCTTCACTTTTGACCAATATAAACTTAGTCCTTTCAGTCCCTTTCTCTAGGTTTGACTGTTGAATAATCACCACGTCTTTTGAGTATTGAAATTTCCATGGAGAGTGAATTATTTAAGCGGGTAACCTTTCTATCTTTTCAGCTTGGATGACAGTGAGGGTCACCAGTCAATCAACGAGAAGAACAGGAGACGGACTAACATCCTGGAGACGTCCCATTTTGGATTTAATTACCTGTCCACCTGTATAAAAAATTTCAGGACGTAATCCCACATCATTGCAGCGGTAAAGAACCTGCTTCCTGTCCCTCGGATACTACTCACGGCGATACTCTGCGAAGAACTAGCCCCGTGGTGGTCACCAACACCTGCGACCCCCCCCCCACCCCCCCAAAATCAGCAACGGCTACGATTTCAACAACAGTGTCACCAACACCAGACACCCCTATACATGTATATATTAGCGTTGAATTCAGTTATCATTTATATTTTTCATTTTGCATTTCCTTTAATGTAGGATTAATATTTCATATTTAAGTGTTTTATATTTTATATTTTCTATATAATAAAGTGTTTATGTTTGTCTGTTATTATTTCTTTTTCTATTCACTAATTTTCCTGAGGAGGAGCCAGCCTTGGTAATACTGTCTGAAGTTGTTACAGGGCTGAGTAAGCCTTCACACACATACGTACAAATTAGGATGTTATTAAAATTAAAGAGCAAACAAAAAAGTTTCACAAAGAATATTGACCAGTCTCCTATCTCAAGACTAAACTTAAATACACTTTTCAATGGACAATGTAGAGGGTAGGACTTTTGTTGAAGAGAAACCTGATTTATTCTGTTTTACTAGAAATGAAGTACAACTGATAGAAAGTTACCTAATCGGGGTAGTGGAGGGGCACGTAAACTGGTGCACCATCGTCTTTCTTGTCCTCTGTCCCTTTTGATCTTGTGAAGAAAGATCTGCAGAACAAATTTTATACTTTTAATTACCCCAGTGACAGTCTCCTGCCAAGTCAGGGTGACCCAAAGAAAACACATTCAATATCATTCATTCAAACTCTTGTCTTTCTAGAAGAAGTGTGCCAACATTACAATTCAGATTACTCTCCAACTTGTATGTAACATCCCCAGCCCTTCTTCAGAGTGCAGGCACTATCCTTATCCAGGATTCAAATCTGGCTAACCAGTTTCTCTGAATCCCTTCATTAAAGTTATCTTGCTCACACCCTAACATGGAATTCATTAAAAACCGCTTGTCTCCACTCCTATCTAATACCCTCACACAAGACTACTGAATGCTCAAGTCCCTAAAACTCAAAGCCTCTTGTGTCCCTCCCTCCAATCATTCCTGGAATGACCAATACTAAGATGAGTTTGTGTGTGTGTGTGTGTGTGCAACCTTCACTCTGGCTCCGCTATGTGGATGACATCTTTGCTCTGTGGCCTCATGACTCCAGTCTCTTCCAACCTTTTCTTGAAGCTCTTAATAATCTTGCCCCTTCCATTAAGTTCAAAGCTGAATGGGAATCTATTTCCTTGCTTCCTTTCCTTGATGTCCATGTCCACCGCTCAGATACAGGTTTTTCCTTTTCCGTTTACCGTAAACCTATGCACAGTGGCATGTACATTCACTACTTTTCCTATCATGCTTCCTCTGTCAAGAAAAGTGTTCTTGTCTCCCTCTTTCTCCGTGCCCTCCGCATCTGTGATTCTCAGTTCCTTCAATCAGAAATTTCCACTCTTCATAATTCGTTCTCCCGTCTTGGCTACCCCTTTCCCATTTCATAGACTCTGCCCTCTCACGTGCTAAATGCAATTTCTTCTCTCCCAAACTCTATTCATGAGAACTCTTCTATCCTCTGCCTTCCCTACATTTCGGGTCTTTCTAATCTCAACAATTCTCTCCGTCCCCTTTGACATCAAGCTTACCTTCCGCCAGACTAACACTCTTCGCACTAATCTCGTTCATACCTCTCCTCCCTCTACAGATGTTCCTGGTGTCTACTCTATTTCTTGCTCCTCCTGTCCTCTTCAATACTTCGGAGAAACTGGTCGATCTCTTTTTGACAGACTTAGGGAGCACAAAAATAGTGTTAGGCTTGCCGACACTAACAATGCTCTTTTCTGTCCGTCAGAAGGGTCATAGCCATCCTATTGATGGTCTTCTGCTAGAACGTCTTCCCTACTTCCAACTCGAACAGTCGCCGTCTAGTTGAACCTCTCTAATACACAACTTTCCTTGTATGAACCTTAGCCCTGGCTTCGTCTCTGTAGATGCCTTCCTCTCCCACTACATTGTAAAATGCTCCAAACTTCAGAACACCCGTGACTTAACCTGAATCCTATTTTTTTTTTTTTTTTTTTTCTGTTTCTTCTTCCTCTTCCCCTTTCCCTCTTTCCTTTGCTCCTCTGGTTGTCTTTCTCTCTCATGTCTCGTGTTTCTGTTCCTTCTTCATTTATTTCACCACTACCCTTTCACGCACCTCTGTGCGCTTGCTCTCCCTCTGTGGGCATCTAGCTCTCTTGCAGTGCCCCCCTTCCTTTGTATTTGACTGGCTCGTCCTTTTCCCACTTCTACCACTACCACTACTACTACCTCTTCTTCTTCTACTACTACTACAACTACTGATGAAATTAAGACATATGTGCGGCGTCTGGTTATCTTTGTTGTGGACGTTTCGCCATCCAGTGGCTGGCTGGATGGCGAAACGTCTATGATGGGGATGGGCCCGGGTGTTGTGCATGTGTCTTAATTTCATCTTGTCGGTATCATATACAACTTTTGTACTACTGCTACTACTACTACTACTACTACTACCACCACCACCTCTTCCTGCCTATATATAGCCGTCCCGCTCCACCTCTGTTAGTGTGACTTTGTCATGGTCCAAGTCGGACCGAAACGTCGTCGTAAGCTTCTCTCTTTTATGTGCGGGTTATTTGTGTATGTGTGTGTGTGTGAATTTGTATGTGTGTGTGTGGGGGTGTGTGTGTGTGTGTGTTTTGTGTGCGTGTGCGTGTGTGTGTGTGTGTGTGTGTGTGTGTGTGTGTTGTGTGACTTAACAATCAATATTTGCACCAATAACTCACTACAGTTGTGACCGGGTGTGGAAGTGTGAATTGCTCATTACTCTAAAATTTGTTCATGATTGTAGCCATGTATAAACGTAAGTAACCATTCTTACAGTATTCATTATCTTTGTAACTTGTGAGTTCATTACCTTGTACCTAGTTCAGCCATCAAAATTTTGGGGCCCAGTCCCTGGACCCATTGTGTACCTCTGTAATCTGTAAATACCTTTGTAACTTGTCATGATTGTGACTAGACCTACCTGGAGTTCATTACCTTTGTAAATTGTGAGTTCATTACCTTTGTAAATTGTGAATTCATTACCTCTGTAACTTGCTCAGCTATCAAAACTTTGAGACCCAGTCCCTGGACCCATTATGTACCTCTGTAATCTTTTCACTACCGCCCACAGGATGGGTATGGGGTGCATAATAAACATATTAAACTAACTAACACCCCAGATCTGTATGCCCTATTTGTCAGTCTATCCTTCTTCATCTCCTGTATATACCCAAACCACCTGAACAACCCCTCCTCAGCCTCCTAAATTATACCTTTGGTGACCTCATATTGCCTTTTAATTCCCATGCTCTGAATTCTCTGCACAAAGATATTCACTGCATTGTGATGCCCTGGTACTTTCAGAAAGGCAGGTAATGACTAATAGTGAGTGTATTTTCTTTTTAGATTACCTTGGTGGAAAATATTAAAAAATTATATCATTTAATAATGAAATAATGTACCTGGAAATTACAAGAACATACCAGTATATACATATATATAATATATATATAATATTTTTTTTTTTATTATCACACTGGCCGATTCCCACCAAGGCAGGGTGGCCCGAAAAAGAAAAACTTTCACCATCATTCACTCCATCACTGTCTTGCCAGAAGGGTGCTTTACACTACAGTTTTTAAACTGCAACATTAACACCCCTCCTTCAGAGTGCAGGCACTGTACGTACTTCCCATCTCCAGGACTCAAGTCCGGCCCGCCGGTTTCCCTGAACCCCTTCATAAATGTTACTTTGCTCACACTCCAACAGCACGTCAAGTATTAAAAACCATTCGTCTCCATTCACTCCTATCAAACACACTCACGCACGCCTGCTGGAAGTCCAAGCCCCTCGCACACAAAACCTCCTTTACCCCCTCCCTCCAACCTTTCCTAGGCCGACCCCTACCCCGCCTTCCTTCCACTACAGACTGATACACTCTTAAAGTCATTCTGTTTCGCTCCATTCTCTCTACATGTCCGAACCACCTCAACAACCCTTCCTCAGCCCTCTGGACAACAGTTTTGGTAATCCCGCACCTCCTCCTAACTTCAAAAAACTACGAATTCTCTGCTTTATATTCACACCAAACATATGCCCTCAGACATGACATCTCCACTGCCTCCAGCCTTTCTCCTGCTGCAACAATTCATAACCCATGCTTCACACCCCATATAGGTGTGGTTAAAAACGTATACTCTCATACATTCCCTCTTTGCCTCCAAGGACAGTGTTTTTGTCTCACGGACTCCTAAGTGCACCACTCACCCTTTTCCCCTCATCAATTCATGATTCACCTCATCTTTCATGACCTATCCGTGACACGTCAACTCCCAAATATTTGAATACATTCACCTCCTCATACTCTCTCCTCCCATCTGATATCCAATCTTTCATCACCTAATCTTTTTGTTATCCTCATAAAACCTTACTCTTTCCTGTATTCACTTTTAATTTTCTTCTTTTGCAACACCCTACCAAATTCATCCACCAATCTCTGCAATTCTCTCAGAATCTCCCAAAAGCACAGTGTCATCAGCAAAGGAGCAACTCCCGTGGCAAACTCCACACTTTTATGTTGATTCTTTATCTTTTAACTCCACGCCTCTTCGCCAAGACCCCTCGCATTCTTATCTTACTAACCCCATCTATAAATATATTTAAAAAACCCACGGTGACATCACACATCCTTCTAAGGCCTACTTTTTACTGGGTAAATTATTTCCCCTCTTTCCTACATACTTCTAAACTTGAGCCCTCACTATCCTCGTAAAAAAACTCTTCACTGCTTTCAGTAACCTACCTTCTACACCATACAACTGCAAACATCTTGCCACATTGCCACCTATCCCCCCCTGTCATACGCCTTGTCCAAATCCACATAAATGCCACAAAGACCTCTTTAGGCCTTATCTAAATACTGTTCACTTATATGGTTCACTGTAAAACACCTGGTCCACACAACCCCTACCTTTACCTAAAGCTCCTTGTTCATCTGCTATCCTAATTCTCCGTCTTACTCTTATTGTCTTTCATAATAACTCTACCATACCTTTAAACAGGTATACTCAACAGACTTATCCCCCTATAATTTTTGCACTTCTTTTGTCCCCGTTGCCTTTATACAAAGGAGCTAATGCATGCTCTCTGCAATCCAAGGTACCTTACCCCCCTCTTCCATGCATTTATTATTATTATATCTTCTTCTTTCAACGTACAGCAGTATCCCACTGAGAGTGGGTGGCCCCCCCAAAAGAAAAAAACTTGAAGTTTCTCCTATTTATTTACATTTATTAATATATACAGGAGAAGGGGTGACTAGCCCCTTTGTCCCGCTTTTTAGTCGCCTCTTACGGGACACGCATGGCTTAAGAGGAGAATTCTGTTCCAAACCAGGCTACCGCGGCAATAAACTGAACAAGAATTAGAAAGAAAATAGAAGAAAACCCCAGAGGGGGTGTGTATATATAGCTTGTTACATGTATGTTGTAGTGTGACATAAGTGTAAAGAAGTAGAAGTAGCATGACTTACCGGTAATCTTCATATTTATGAGTCTAGACAAAAGGACACCAGCAATCCTACCATCATGTAAAAACAATTACAGCTTT